CATTACCAGGCACATCGTCGAGAATTTCGATAATTGAGTCATCCGTCGGCCGGATGTAGCGAGCTGAAACGTCACTTACAATGGGGTTGCCTTCGAAATAAGCTGGTTTCAAACGGTCGATACTGACAGTATCTTCGCGTCCGCCTCGCTCAATTACATAGAATTTCTCATGTCGCTTAATCACTTTGAACGGCCCGTCGTAGGGTGGTTCAAGTGGTCGACGAACAGCGTCGTGGCGAACAAACACGTGTGATGTCTTCTGTAAACTGGGGTGGACGAAAACATCAGTCGTTTGCGGTCTAATCGGAGAAGGCCTAACTGAACGCATTGCGTTTGTAAGCCTAGTCACGTAAGATGCCCTGTCGGAAACATGTTTGAAAGTTGAAGGGGAAACAAACTCACCTGGTAGGCGAAGAGTGGTCCCATAGACGAGTTCTGCAGGAGTGCATCCAGCATCAACTTTCAACGCGTTACGAATACCTAGTAGGACTAGAGGCAGAGCCTCGGTCCACTGAGGTATGTTTGTAGCTGAAAGGGAAGCTTTCAGCTGTCGATGGAAACGCTCTACCATGCCATTTGCTTGTGGATGGTAGGCTGTCGTTCGGAACCGAGTGCAACCTAAAAGTGCCGTTAGAGCGTGAAATAGTCCGCACTCAAATTGGCGCCCACGGTCGGTTGTGACGTAGGATGGACATCCGAAGTTCGCGATCCATCTTTCGACGAAAACACGAGCAACTGTTTCGGCAGTAATATCTTTAATGGGTACTGCTTCCGGCCATCGTGTGAAACGATCAACACAGGTGAAAAGGTAGGTACATCCATTAGATTCTGGTAGGGGTCCTACAATATCTATATGGACGTGGTCGAAACGCATGTCTGGGGCTAGAAATGAGCCTAAAGGGCTTTTCGTGTGTCGCGTGACTTTACACTTTTGACAAGCTAAGCACGACTGGGCCCACTCCTTAACGTCTTTGTTCATCCCAGGCCAGCAGAAACGTTGTGCGATAAGCCTAATGGTGGCTCGTACACCTGGATGAGAGAGTTTGTGCAACGTATTGAAGACGTTGCGTCGACAACTCTTCGGAACTATTGGGCGTGGTTGACTAGCAGAGACATCGCACAAAATTGCATCCTTGTCTGATCCAACAGGACAAAGTCGCAGTTTGAGAGTTGTGGACGACAACTCATGATGCAGCTCAAGGTCTTCCTTTTGACGCCGAGCTAGTTCAACGAGATCAATACCCTCGATATAGTTTATCGAAGCTATTCGAGATAGTGCGTCGGCTGCGGAGTTGTTTGCTCCAGAAATGTGGCGGATGTCTGACGTGAACTGGGAAATGTAATCCAGCTGTCGCGACTCACGAGGGGAGTATTTGTCAGACGCCGAGCTGAGGGAAAACGTTAACGGTTTGTGGTCTGTGAAAATAATGAAATCACGACCTTCCACAGAATGTCGAAAATGGCGTACAGAACAGTACATGGCTAGGAGTTCCCTACCAAATGTACTGTATCTTGTTTCCGCGTCTTGCAGCCGCCTCGAGAAAAAGGCTAACGGTTGCCACTGGTTGTCAGTCAACTGTTGCAAAACTGCTCCAATTGCTGAATCAGATGCATCAACAGCAATACTCAGAGGAGCATTGGGGTCATGATGCATAAGCATGGTTGCGTTCGAAATGGCTTCCTTGACTTTGGAGAAAGCAAGTCTAGCCGCGTTGTCCAGAGACACGAACTTCGCAGTTCCTCGAAGTAGATCTGTGAGTGGTCTCATGACAGAGGCACAGTTAGGGATAAACCTTCGGTAATAACTTACCAGGCCATTGAAAGTGCGGAGATGTTTCACAGTGGTCGGCTCTGGATAGTTTGTGATAGCCGCCACTTTATCTCTCAATGGGCGTATACCTTTGTTGTCAATGGTATGCCCAAGGAAGCTGAGTGATTCAACTCCTATTTCACACTTCTGTAAGTTAACTGTGATGCCATGTTTTTTGAGTCTTTCGAATGCGAGGTCCAAATGTTTAAGGTGTGTTTCCTTATCTGGACTCGCAATTAGACAGTCATCTATGTAGACATGAACAAAATTCAGACCACGGAAGACGTCGTCCATAAAGCGTTGGAATGTTTGTGCTGCATTCCGAAGACCAAAAGGCATGCGCAGGAATTCAAACAGGCCAAAAGGAGTAATAATGGCTGTTTTCGCGATATCTTCTGCTGCCATAGGTATCTGGTTGTACGCTTTGACTAAGTCGATTTTCGAGAAAATGTTCATGCCGCATAAGGTTGCGGTCAAGTCGTAAACGTGGGGTATAGGGTAGCAGTCCGGAGTTGTTTTGGCGTTAAGCCTTCGGTAATCACCGGTCGGACGCCAGTCGTTGCTATCCTTTTTGGGCACCATGTGCAATGGCGATGCCCAAGGACTGTTTGACGGTCTGATAATGCCCAGTTCCAGCATATGGTCGAATTCATTTTTCGCCGTTTGCAGCTTATCGGGGGCTAAACGGCGAGCTTTGGATGCCACAGGTGGACCTGTGGTTGTGACGTGATGCATAACATTGCTGGTTATGCACGGAAGAGTGTGTTTCGGTTGTTGTAACTCTGGATATTTCTCCAGAACTGCCTGGTAGGACGCGTCGCCTGATTGTTTAGTCCTAACGATGGCTAAACTCGGACCTACATAGGTGGTGCCGCCAATAGATAACTTTGTGTTGTTATCTATCAGTCGTCGACGGCGAGCATCTACGAGTAGATCGTAATGGTTCAGCAAATCTATGCCAATGATGGGCATAGAGACGTCTGCCAGGAGGAAAATCCAGTGAATAGGTTTGCGTAAACCTAAGTTGAGGTAGGCATACCGTCTCCCGAATGTCGCGATTGCCTTGCCGTTGGCTGCTTGAAGATTGAAGGATGGGTCGAGATGACGCTCCTTTGTCGTTGCTGGAAGAACGCTAACTTCTGCGCCGGTGTCGACGAGGTAGCGGACTTTCGTTTTAATGTCGGTGACGTAGAGCAAACGGCTTTTTCCGCCGGCTACGGTTGCCGTGAGCACGTGCCGGCGTGACCGTTTCCCGAGTTCGGTCCTTCTTAAAACGGCATGGTTTACGACATTTTCTGGCTTCATCCCCGTAAGTGTTATGAAACCAGCACCATTCAGGGTTTTCCACCCTGTTGGGTTTCGTTTTAGGGCTACCACGCGACTTGCTGCGATGCGCCAAGGTGCGTTTCTGTGAAGTGCTACGTGATCTAGGACTTCGAGATCGTAGCAACCGTTTCACAGAGTTGCACAACTTGGTCACCTCCGAATCCTGGCGCTCTGTTTTGTCACAGATAGAATATACGTTGGAGACGGGTCTGCTGGATATCTCCAGTATTTTATCTGCTGAAGCTGCCAGGTCGTCGAGTGGGACTGACTGGAGTGTCACCAACACGGTTTGCACCGGTTGTGGTAGTTTCGAGAGAAATAGTTCTCGGAAGAAACCATCGTCAAATGTTCGTGCACCGATTACTTCTCGCATGCGTGCGAGGACTTCAGTAGCTGAGTGGCTGCCTAGCTCGATGTTACGAAGCAATTCGTCTAGACGTTGGCGATCTGTGAGATCGCTTTTCTTCAAGAGTGCAGCCTTTAGAAGTGCATAAGGGTCACTTACTTCAGGATTAAACATGTTTGCTGTAACAAACCTGTTTAATTCTCGCGGTAGTGAACGTATGACAGCAAGAAATCGAGATGAGGATCTGAGACACCCTGTTCTCGAAAATCGGCCTCGGCATACAGAAACCATGTTTCTGCATTGTCTGGCCAATATGGCACGAGTTGGATCGTGTTCGAGGTCGGCTTAATACGAATAAGCTTGGGAGTGTGGTCGGACATGAGAAAGTGTAGTAAATGGATATATAAATGTTATCGAAATGAAAACAATAAACAAATATAAAATGGAACAGGCTCACCAATTCAATACTTGCTATTGTCGGGATATGTGATCACGTCGGGATATTTGATCACGTCGGGCTCACCAATTTAGGATTTGTCCTGGTGCGAACTTGACAGACGCAAAGACCAATCACTAATTATTCGAACTTGTTATATACCCACGAATACGAGACCAAGGAAGAACACGATAGCGTAGTCGGATGGAATAGTATATTTGGATGGTTATGCCAAAATACCGATGCGTTCCAACTAACTGGCTAGAGAGTCGAATACGAGCAATGCAACGTAACACGACAGCGTGCCAAATGGCGAGGATGCTTGACCGGATGCCTTCAGCTTAGCGAGTCCAGTTAAACTATCAAGGTCAGCATCAATGTCGAAGTCGTCAAACCCTAGGCTATTGATTTTGGGGAAGTGTATGACGCTACAAGTCCACAGTTTATATATATAAATTCATGCCATCACATAGCGAAGAAAACATGCAGAAAATGTTATTACTGTACTCTGATTTTGTCAGACCAAATCATATCATATAAGCAGCGTTATGAAAACCCAGCGAAGTTTGAAGTTTGTAGAAATACATTACGCGCGCTGTTTAACTGCTCCCAAGTAATTACGGTCACAGCTCTTTGTTGTGTTAATCTGCGGTTTCACACTGTCGTAACAAATGGACAATCAAAGATCGTCGATAGAGTCGCCTGTAGACCCTGATTCTACGTCTGTGAGGGTCGCAGTGAGGTAAGAACCTATCAGCTCATCCTAAAATTCTAGAATCCGACCTCAAAGTACGAAAGAAAAAGCTGGAATGAACCACATATGCACAACGGTTACTCCAAATGAGCCACAGATTGTTATTGGAAAGGATGCCAACTTCACCTATGACCATGTTTTCAATATGAATACTTCTCAAGACTACATTTTTCAAACTTTAGCCAAACCTTTGATTGATGGGTTTGTCACTCTTTTACAGCTTATCTTTTAGTTGCATGGATGGTATAACGCCACAATAATTGCCTACGGTCAGGTATGTTTTTTTTAATGTATTACTGTGTAGACGGGCTCCGGAAAAACGTATACCATGGGCACGGGTTTCGATATTGGCTGCGACCATACAGATGCTGGGATTGTCCCGCGTGCTGTCCAATACTTATTTGCCAGTGTAGCTAGACGTCGAGCCGAGGCGGCTGCGAGGAAACAACCAGTTCCTGAGTTCAAGGTTGTTGCACAGTTTTTAGAGGTAGGTCAGTTTCTGTACTCGTAATAGAGAAATTATGTTCTGAACTGGCTAACTTTAGTTCGCTCTAAGCATAGATTTTCCAGGCAGAAATGTACTTTTCTTCTTTTGGTCATACAACACAATTATGGGCAAATATCCCATCAGTCGTCTTTATTTATCTGATTTATAGAGATTTAGTGCACGAGCCTCTCCCAAAATCAGTCAAGCTCCGTTCGTAAACAGGTTTAGATATTCATAAGAACAAATAACCCTCTTAGACGTATGCTCCAAATTGGTTGCTTTTTCTCCTCCAGTACTGGACCTTAGATTTATGTGCTTAGTGGTCAAAAAATGTTCGAGGACTTATTTCCGTGGTCTTTGATGATTCAACGCTGATCGTCATGCTAGCGGTCACTTACCTCCAACTCGTTAACCTTTCTTTCAGTCCTATTAAAGTGGTTCTTCGTATCCATAGTTCCAATGCATTTAAGGTGTAGTAGGTCGTCACTAACTAATAATGCAATGTTTGTCAAATAATTTCCCCTGTGTGGTACTATCAACTACCCTCCATGAGTTTGTGATTCCCCTTGGCTAAGTAAATTTTGTTAGGTGCACTGGAACTCAAGTTTGGCTAATAATCGGTGACCCTAACCATTAGACTGCAGGGTATTAGTTAAAGCCCGCTTTCTGCATGGCAGGCTAACTATTGTCTCTGGAAAGTTTAACTTAAAACCCTGGCATACATGCTGACAATCTTTTGGTTTGTCTGCCACACCTAAGTGCATGTGATTGTGTGTCGTATACAGCTGGTAGTTTTGTTAGATGACCAACTGAATTAATTTCGTTCAATAAAGTATATTCAATTTGATCGTGTCTTAAAGTTGATATTGGTCTAAATGGCTATCAAACGATTGAACCGGTCACTGCAAACACAAACAGGACGAATTTAGGGAGAGAAGCAAGTAAATAAACTTGAGTAAGACATTTAAGAACTGTAGAAGACAACGAATGTATTTGCGTCATAAAGGCAATCCTTGATCCGTACTACAGGGTTTGAGTTCCTGGGGTATCGAAAACCCAAGGCAAGGGATTTTCAGTTCCCCCTCCCCCACTTGTCAGACTGACGTCACGAATTATACGAAGTGTACGTTCAGCATTTACATCACTAGCTTAACTTCTGAAAGTGTTCAAGGCCGGTTGAATTGTACACATTAAACCTTGATTTATTTCACTAGCCTTTGTCTTCGAATTTTTTCTCCTACAAGCCTACTTTGATAGTAGTCTTTCCTATCCACTTGTTCTGTGCATGCCACTTTGAAATGTGACAACTTAGACCAACGCATTTCCTTGAGAGATTCTGCTTTAATTTTATCTGTTTCTGTCCAACAATGGACTCCTTGAAATGTGGGTGATTTCGAATACGCATCCTTGTTCGTAGAAATGTCGAGAAAGCCACATGTAAGAAAGCAGCAGATTTTAACATCTTTAAACTAGTTTCCAAACTGCTTAGACGCCTAACTTTCTGGCTTGAGAGGCTGATTTTCAAGGCGTGAGTCTCGGTTTGAGCCTCGTTCCGTTTCGGCACATGCGTCTGGGTTGTATGCTGTTGCACAAGCGCGAGGTGTATAAACGTGTGCTAGATTGAGTTGCAACAAATTGTTTTTTTTAAATTTCAAGACCACTTTGCAATTCGACATAAGCCTCAAACGTGATTTATCAAAGTTTAATTTTCAGTGTGCGACTGGCTGTTGGAGCATGCGTGATAGACAATTTTTAAATAAACTTATACGTCAACTCAGATTGCGTCCTTCAGAATAATTGTGTCTTATGTGATTTTGCCGCCTTCGATTAGTTGTAGATAAGCAGTGCTTTGACAGCTCAGAACAAATGCTGACCATTGTTAGGGATGTTATTCGCTTCCCGTGCCCTTCCGTTTGACTGGACTCTGTCCCGTAGTCCTGGTTCTGTAACTAATACACTTCACCGCTATCCTGAACCAAGTTCAAGGGTCCACCTAGGAGAACAGAGATACAAAGAAAACTCTGCACACTAAGACTCCATAAGTTAACTTACTTAGACAGATGGAGTGAACGTAGAACCTTGCACACAAGTCCATAGGTTCAAGTTGCCACACTTCACAGTAGCATACAAACAACCTATGGATAGAATAAGAGTGATATCATAGTCGACAAAGTCGTGTGAAAGAATAAACAATTTGAAGATAAACGTTGGCGCGAATATTCAAGCTCTAAACAAGACGTCAGAGAGTGAATACATCCGCGCCATTGTGACTGATTTTCAGCCATGTCACCAAGAGTTATCAACCACTGATTCACTTCGTTTTAAGGATCACAGTCAAGTAGTTGCCATCTCCCAACACGGCTCAGACCAACAGTAAGTGACTTCATTGACTGGTGCCAAGTCTTAGTCTAGTCACTCTGAACCCTCTTCCAACCTAAACTAACTTCCTCCCAGCATGGCATGTCAAGGAAATGGTGACTTGGCATGCGCAGTACGTCTTGGAGCCGTCTCAGTCGACTAAGGTTCGCAACGTCATCAGTCGACTTACCTGTCTTGCTTAGTACCCTTCGCTTGACTTCAACATTCTTCACACGATGATTCCACCAAACGCTAGCAATGTTACAAAGACACCTGTGATCAAAACCCTGTAACCTCTTCATATCTCCTACTTTTATTGGCCATGTCTTGCAGCCGTATAACAGGACAGAACAGACTACAGTGCAGTATACTCATCCTTTGGCTGATAGTCGGATATCTCCCCAGTCGGGGCCAGAGATGAAGCAAGTTGGTAAGAGCTAAATGGACCTTCTGAATCCGAGCTGAGATTTCGTCAGCAACCAGCCTGTTTGGGTTGATACAAATCTTCAAGTAAGTGAAGTGATCGGAATTTTCTTCCAATCCACTCCTTATCATTAAGCTAGGAATAGTTGCAGACCAGTCCTGGACCGTCATCTAACATTTGACGGGTGCCAGTAAAACGCATGCCAGCTACACTCTGACTTCTACTCAACGCGTTCACAAAAGCCTGCATTTTGTTATCATCTTCATGTAGCAGGACAATATCGTTTGCGTAATCCAAATCAACCAGTTGGCCTCCAGGGAGTAGATTAATCCCTGTGAAGTCAAACGTACCTAAGGCTATGTCCATATGTATGTCTGTAACAAAGTTCACTTGGAACTGAGTGGATATTTCTGACTCACTCCACTAGTTGTCGTCAATTTTGATGACAACTCTCCAAATGCAGGTACGCGACTGCATGAGTTCGAGTGGAGAGTTCTGATTAAGCATTATGTACCTGCTCGGTACTCACTTCACGGTCAGACACTGCCATGACACCTCACGGTCTACAGTCAAAAGCCGCCTTCAGGTGAAGAAATGTGGCAAGTGTTGGCCGCTGGCCGGTGTGTATACCTGTCTCCCAGAACCTGTTCGAGAGTGAAAATATGATTGATACACCTCCATCCTGGTCTCCAGTTAGCTGTTCTCGAGCTCCAGTTTGGCGTGAGATAATTATGCATCCTAGGATCTTGGAAACAATATTATACTGATTCCCCTATGGTTGTCACAGGAAAACTTCTCTCACTTCTTACACACTGGGGTGATCAGTGGAGGGGGGCAGTCTGACGGCATTACCTCTGTTTTCCATACACTACCTAGTACCTCCGTAACTGTAATTGGCAATTTTCTACCTCCATCTTTGAAAACTTCGGGCGGTAAAATACCAGCTCCTATTTCTTTGCATCGTTTCACGTAAAGAAATACCTCAACTTCGAAGGAAGCTGGAGAACCGTTACCTAATTCCCATTCAGGCTAAGATTGGGTGTTGGGCAACTGAATCGTTGCTGGAGGGTTGGGGTGGGTGGCAGTTGAACTGTGCTTCATTGTTCTGCCTGACATTCAAGCCGTTTGTCCAGAAAGATTATTGGGTTATCATCCTTTTCGGTGATATTTCACTAACCATCGTGTTCTTGCTGGTATCCTTAATAAGCCTAAATAGTTACGCAATGTTACCTAACGTTGCTGCCTTCTGCATGTCTCTTGCTTTCACCACCTACCACTGCTCGCGGTCATTGGAAAGACTCTTGATCAATATCAATTTACGTTCAAGTTGCTTTCTCTTTTCTTCGTGGTCAGAACCAGCTGGAATCAGTCTTCTCGCATCAGTCAGTTTGGTTGGTGTCTGTTAATCTTCAGGTGCAGGTTACCAACTGTCTACCGCTGTTTCTGCAGCAGACATAATATCATCCAAAGTTTCTTCAGGATGAGCATTGCTGTCATGTTCAGACAAACGGTTAGCTAACTTTTTCCCAAATATGTATTTGTTCTCGTCTTCTAATCAGCCTTACTGTAACCTGTTTCCTACGGCCACTTAGACGCAGACATATACGAGCCCGTACTTGCGCGTGATCGGATTCCAAACTGGTACTCCGGAAAGACCGGCAATCCTCCACCGATCCTCCCCAACGATGGCTTATAACAATGTGATCTATATATATATATCCGTCGTTAGTTTGATGTTGGACACCATGCGAGACAGTGTCTCTCCTTATGTTTAAATCTAGTACTGGTCAGAAACAAGTGATTATCAGAACAGAATTGCAGCAGACGATCACGGTTGTCGGTTCGTTAACATGGAATTTCGCAAATACCCCCAAAATGCTTTTACGACTGACTCAGCCTCCCTGCTTGAGCGTTAAAGTCACCTGCCATTATGCATACATCTGAACGTTTTGCTTCTTTGGCAAAATTGGCAGCTTCTCATAACATTCATCCTTTGCATCATCCGAACTGCAGTTGGTGAGTGTGTAGTCGGAGATTGCCAATAGGCATTGGTTGGTGTCACGATCCTTCTTAGTTCTTACAGACCCATTCAGTCGAACAGCACATAAACAGCTGTTGAGTGGTATCCAGCCGAGAACCATGCTTTCTAACCTACATCTCAATGCTGTGCCTACACCACCGAGTCCATGAAAGCTAGCAACTGGTTTTCCGGATACTCGTAAGGTAAATTTTGAAGATTCACTGCACCGGTCAGATGAGGTCAATTGAATAACCATACTTAGGTCCTGTATATGTCTCAGAGACAGCATACATTCTTGGCTCGAGATTCCGTAGTTCTAAGGAGCTATGCTTGCTCTCCAATTTGGCATAGAGTCCGGACGTTGAAAGCCCCTAAATAAAATCGATGGTGGCGTCTTTGGAAACTAGAAATGAGGTTTCGATGGCTTTAATCGTTGGCTATGTTCGCAGAACGATAGGTTGAGGGGGGCGTAAGGGACATCTGCTTAAGGTCTGTCACACATGGCCTTTTTGCAAGTTTAAGACTGTGGCTTTTCGCTTTTGAATCCGATAATGAATCCCTGTTGCAGGCATCGGTATGCTGCGAGGGGATGGGAGTGTGCTGTTTCCGAGGCCGACTTTTTCTGACGCTCCCTTCCCGCAAAGAAGGCAGCGTCTACGTGGCACTTCTGATCATCCAAGAGGAACACCTTACCGCTTTCCAGCTAACAAATGTATAACGTCGCTCCCAGAACCCCATCATAGTGTAGCAGTTAATAGTATAAGGATAACTGTTTTTTGTCTAACCAATATCCAGTAGATATTTCGGTTATGGCAGGACCTCAACGGAACAAACATTCCACCAGCATGGCTTATTGGGTCATTGTGATATACAAGCCCCACCGCCACGTCAAGTTAGCAGCTGTCGATCGGGGCTTAAACATCTTATGCTTGACCCTTTTTAAGGATATATTGGGACTGTGACCAGGAAGCTCAGATTGTTGTGGAAGTTACAGAAAACTGAGTGTTGCATCACTTTGAAACAAAGCCATCCTTTTACCCATGTTTGCAAAGGTTGTACGTAATGCATGTGACAGTCATCGGGATATCAGTCTGCTATCAGTTTCATCTCAAATATTCGCTGCTGTCATCCATCTACAGCTTCTCGGAAATTTTAAAGTACTGATTCTCTAGAAGTACGCTCACCATTCTCACCATGGATGCACTCATCAAGTGTTCACACTACCCGAATTTTTAGCACGGTCACGCTTAATAGAGATCAACAGTCATGTTTCTGTATCTTACAGCTGCCTGTGGTTTGATTGGTCTGCTGTCTGCAATTGTCTAATAGGACGTGTTTTTCACAATCTCACTATTATTGTGATGGTTTCATAGAAATATTCTGTTATATTAATGCTAAACAAGCACCGTTATCTCTTCTTCAAGCTTGTTAGTAGTTTATGACTTTTAGATTTATCGATTCCTCCGTAACTTCTTTATTAGTGTCATTCTAGTGACATCTCGAAAAGAAATGCCTTTTGGTGTGAATCTATTGTCAGACGAATAGCTTCTCACCCTCAAGTGTACAAGAGGCTTCATCTAAGTGTGCGACTAAATACTAGCACTTAATTAGTGGGTGGTGAGTTTCCGTTATGATGTGCTCTGCAATATGGAAGTGCTAAGTAATTTGAGATTCAATTTGGAGGTTTTTCGTTATTGTTTACTCAAATGCTCGTGGGCCTGTTAGAGCGTGTTGTAAGTTGTCAGGTGTACGTTGGGTGGTGTTCGTCAGGGATGTCCATTCTCTTAATTCTGGTTCAATTTTATCATAGGGAAACTTACGGAGGTCTTCCTCTCGTTATGTGACTTCACAGAGGTTGATCTTGTCACAGGTGAATCCTTGGTAGATCTAGGTTACGGAGATAACAATACTGTTAGGCGAAGATGTTGACAAGAAACGGAATCTTCTGAAAACCGTACGTGGCAGTTTGAGAATGCTTGCGATGCATTCCTCGCCACCCATATGCTAATTGCCGATACTAGGCTGGTCTTCAATGATGCTTTGTCTAACGGTAGAGAGTGAAATGGTTGGACGTGGTGACCACTTCACTTACCTAGGAATTCAAATCAACCCTGGGTCAGTAATCTACGAAATCTCTGCGCGTATACAAAAGGCTCGGTTGGCTTTCACCAACATACGCCATATATGGTACCCCTGAGGTATCTGATTGTCTATTACAGGTCAAGTGTATTGTGCTACAGTTCATTCTGTTCTACAATCGCACGTCTCAGAAATAAGTGTATAAGCATGAAGGAATGCACATCAGAGCCGTCAGATATCATCAAGCCTGCAAACCAGTAACGATCATGCTGGATCTCTTGTTTCTCCTATTATTGAGAAGTGAGATGAGAGCAATTATTAATGTGGATGCAGTTCTGAGACTTTTTCTTTATAATCCGAATACGTTTTGTCTCTGTTTTTCTTTCATTCCCTGTATTTCGTATTTGTTCCTAATGTCGTATTACGTTATGTGGCTATTTTCTTGGTTTCCAAGTGTTTTTCATTATCACACTGTTTTGAGTTCTGCTTTATTGTACTTGTGATCGCTGTTTATATCATCGAATAATATTGAATGCAAGTCTTACCGCATTATATACCTCTCTCATTCGTTTTCCGTCCAATGAAATTCTTCTTTGCAGCTTTACAATGAAGAGTTGGTTGACCTACTGGATTCTGAAAAGGTGAGCTCGTTTCGTAGTAAACCACAAGTTCATCTGTATTGAAACAGCAGGCTAGGCACATGGTTGATACCCCTACGATGACTAGTATTGTTAGGTTTTTGGTTGTTAAAGGTTTATTATATTGTAGTCTACTTGGCGACTAGCAGTGGAATCCAGGACGCACTTTTTGTCCTATCTGGGACTCGTCAGCTGAGCGTATCTGCACCCTAGTAGAGGATGTTCCCACTGAGACTCGAACCCAATATTCATCTCCTTAAGAGCCAAAGCGTTATCCACTAGGTTTGTTTTCAAATGCCAACTGCATCAAACTTGAGTCTTATTTTCCCCTTTTGGGCGAAATATACTATTCTGTATAATTTGCTTGTAAAGTTGCGTGTTATCTTGGAAAGCTACATCTCACTCTTGGCACTGTGTATACCACGAGCTTCAGTGGACGTTCTCAGATGCTCTATGTGTCTTTAAAGTAGCTCCTTGATCAAATTCCTGGCTGCTAAAACTATCTAGCTTTGCAAGAATCATGTTCATGGTTTGTGTTAACTACCAGAACAAGAAGATGTAGCCTCAGTGTACCGTCAGTCCTAAAATTGGTTACTGATCGGGAAGTTTTTAAAGTACTTGAAACAATTTGGCATTGAAATTAATTTTAATTTCGTAGTTCAGAATCTATTTTAAAACAGAAGCAATGATATGAGTAGATATTCTTGCCTATTTGACATCCATATGACAGTGTTGCTGATTTTATGACCTTACTTTTAACTCGTTTAGTTTGCGCTGTTGAACTGCTTAGTACGATGTATGAAATATGAGACATGATTAAAAGTGTCCAAGCGGAATAAGTGAAATGTTTCATATTATTTTCCAAACAATAGTTTTGAATCTACCCATCTTTGTATTTATGTAATAATCTGTTTCGTTATCGTAATTCACTTCGAATATTTCTGTGCCGTGCTATTTTGAGATGAATTAAAAGAAATACACATGTAATTATTCAAGAAACAATATTAAGTCTTAGATTTATAATTACAGATCAAAAGTATTCGAATTTTTGCTAGTCAGTGTAGCTATTTTACACTCAATCGAATTCATTTTTCAGGTTGGTATTTGTCATGGACTGACGTCAGTTGGCCTAATGGTGACGTGCTGGCCGCGCAAACCTGAGGGTCATGGATTCAATCCCTGGTAGAATCGTGGGTGCGCACTGCTGAGTCCCACAGTAGGACGGAGCAGCTGTCTAGTGCTCCCTGGTTTCCAACCTGAAATCAAATCCCCACGAACCTCTGAATTGAATTCATTTTTGTTTAGTTTTATCCGTTCAAGAATTGACTTTATAAACCAAGAAAGGTTGTGGGAATAGACATTGGTCGATAATTCGTGCTTATAAATCTGTCCAGTTCAAGGGAATTTCTTCAGAAAAGGTTTCATCACAAATCAAGTAATTTAAGAGCCAATGAAGCAATCAGTATTCCACATCCTACGATATACATTCCTGTTGCATATACGGTGTTTACCAGTGACGATATTCTGCATTATGATATCTGGATACCCGATGTATGAAGTGTTCACAGCGGTTTTTCTAATCTTGAAATTATTAAGTGATTGAAATAAGTGAATTCTGTTAGTGTAATACGGTAGATCAATTTAGAGTTACAAACTCGTTTTTGATCTTCGGTTCAAATTCTATCTCGACTGAAGTGTTTCATCCGGCTCCTTCTGACCAAGTTCTATGAATTTGAAGTAGTGTAATGAATATGAATTGTGAAAAAGTAAATAGCTGCGCATTGTTATCGCGTCTCAAGTTGATACTGATTAAGTAACTCTGTTATGTGTGCAAATTTTTCCGAACCTGTGATACTCAGTAAAATCCACCTCACTTTGAACTGAGGTTTAGTAGGCTGATCTGTTTCTCTGTGGTTTAGGGAGTTGATTTTCAACCAGTGAATCACAGGTCCGAACCCCGCTTTACCTTTTGAGGTTTGGGTAGTCAGGTAGTGACATTAGCCCTCACACAATAGGTGTGGCTCAACGCCTACTGCACGAATGTGCACACGGTTACTGAGTGCGTTTGATTTGTTCGTTCTGTATTGGGTTATAACTGCATGGGTCCGGAGCTCACGTCCCACCCCACCCACTCGGGCTTGGACAACCAGGTTGTATTCTATTCCCTAACACAATCGTAACTCATAGCCTTGTGCATATTATCTTCAACGGGTTGAGTTGAATTGCAAATACTTTGAACTTTTTAAGTTTTGGTCCTCAGTTTGTTTAGATACACATACTTAGATAACGTAATGCAGAAACGTATCTTATGTCTGTATTCAGCTCAGTGAAAAAGTTTGAGAAAGTATCCCATTATGATCCATAGCTTTCAGTTTGTCTACTTTCAATTTTCCTCTGCTCCATAGGAATGTTACCACTCCACTTACTTGCTTTCTCGCTAGTTTTGTCCTCGTGTATCTCAGCATGTTTGCACCTTTGTTGTTCTCTTTCCGTAAGGTTGGGAAGTGTAACGACTTAAATTGGAATACATTTGTTCGGTGTTTCACACTGTATCGTCTGTTTGTTTCCATCTTTTATGAACATATTGGTGAACCAGGGTATGATCTCATTTTTAACGGGGATAGGATATCCGTACAAATTACGACTATTTTGATAAGACATGCACCTAAGTTGTGATCGCTGTGTTCTTATCTCAAGTAACTTTGTGGTTGAACCATCGAAGCTTGTTCATTCTGAAAAAAATATTTGGTGTTGATTTTTACTATTCTTCCAATGGTATTCCTCTTTATACTGTATTTTCTGCTTTTTAGGTTCGAAAACCGCACTTACGACTACATGAAAATGCTCAAGGGGATATTTATTTGACCGGTGTATCTACGCGACTAGTATCAAGCTTAGATGACGTTAGTTTCATTGATTGGTTCGATTTTCTGCCTGCTTTATTATGCTGTTCAACTTATGAAAACTTCTCATACTGCGCATCCGAGTTCTTGTTGTTCCGAATATTCACTGTTCTCATATTTACATAAGGAAAGGTCCTACTCACAAAAATCAGTTATAAGTGTGCGTAGCGCCCCCTAGGATTAAGCTCATGCTCTGTTGTAAATCTAAAAGGTTCTGTGGTTCAGCGATTGACATTGTCGTGCTACTTTATGAATAGTATTAACTCAGGATGTAGAGAAAATACTTTTCTTGCAATATGGAAGGTTCATGTTCCGTAAATAACACTTTGCATAGAGGTTATGGTCGCTTGTTTATTCTAGTCTTTATGACGAACCCAGTTAAGTGAGTGTTACTGGTTGCCACTTTGGAAATTCGTACTCTAAAATTATGTTTCTGTGTTCAGAAATAATTGTTTTTGAAGGCTTCATAGAGTTTAAGTGAATAAGTGGCTTTATTTAAGTCATCTTAAGTACTTGGAATTATTGACACATGACTAAGTGAAATATGATAGATGTGTGATACAATTCTGAATGCTGACATTGTATTGAGTTCATACTAAAATAAATGGATCTACCAACTGTAGGTTTTGGGGTTTACACGACACTTTTCAGTTTCATTTGCTTATTCTCTTATTCTGTAGGAGGCTTAGTGTTTTTCAATTACAATATGGATGTAATAGAAAGGTTTTCTTTGAGAATGACATCTGTAACTGTATAGGTTAAATAATATTGTTGAAAACTGGTGCCGTCAGTGCATTTCCACTTACTTGTTATGTTGTTGTGAATCGTCTACATTTTTAGTCCTTATCTGTTTATCCTACAGTTTCCTTCATCTATTTTGATTTAATACTTCATTCATTTCGTTGCTTCCATTTGTTGGGTATTGTGCAAATTGTGGTGGCTATGACGGATGAACTGCCAAGATCTAGGTTGCTCCGATTTGTCACTTAGTTTAACCAAAATCAATGATATGGTCTGTACTCATGTGATCACATTTAGCACCAACGATAATGAAGAATCTAGTTTCTTAAAGATCATAGTAGAATATCGCAAAAATCCCAGCAAATGTCTTAGCTTCAGAGACAAACGCATTTGTTTAAATGTCTTTTTTTAAAAACAACTGGTTAAACTTTGGTATTAGGTTCCTTAGTAAGGATGATTTTTTGAATTTTAAATGGAGCGTAATTTTTGTATGCTGAAAACATACCTCATTTTATTTCCAGACTCTTAAATGTCTCCATGATGGTTCGTTAGTTAGAAGTACAGCCAGCACCAACATGAATGCTCAGTCTTCGCGTTCACATGCTATTTTCACACTGCACATTAGACAGCAAAGATTGCTGCGATATGAGGAAGTGAGTTGCAGTATTTGTTCAGATGTATAAATGTATGGATTCCAAAAATTTATTATTGAAGTAACTATTATTGTGCTTTTTCTCAAATGAACCAAGATTGAAAAACGTTTGTTTCTCGAAACAAATTTTAAAAAGTAAGGTAAAAAAAACCATCCAGTAAATGGTACTGTTTCACTATGGGATATTTCTAATAAGCAGACTAAAGTGGAATTACAATCGACCACAGTGCCCAAGTTTTACTCTTATATTAATGAAAAAAGCGTGATATGATGAATTCACAAATTTCAGTAGTACTCGTTAGCTGGATACTCAATATACTTGGTTATAGATACTACTAAGCAATGCAAGATATATATATATATATATATATATATATATATATATATATATATATATACTACTATCCAAATTCATGATCCCTAATTTTCCCACCCGTGTTCGACAGTTTACCGTTTAATGATAAAGAGTGAAAACTTGCAATATGTTGACCACCCAAACGGGCTGGTTGCTGACGAAATCTCAGCTCGGATTCAGAAGGTCCATTTAGCTCTTACCAACTTGCTTCATCTCTGGCCCCGACTGGGGAGATATCCGACTATCAGCCAAAGGATGAGTATACTGCACTGTAGTCTGTTCTGTCCTGTTATACGGCTGCAAGACATGGCCAATAAAAGTAGGAGATATGAAGAGGTTACAGGGTTTTGATCACAGGTGTCTTTGTAACATTGCTAGCGTTTGGTGGAATCATCGTGTGAAGAATGTTGAAGTCAAGCGAAGGGTACTAAGCAAGACAGGTAAGTCGACTGATGACGTTGCGAACCTTAGTCGACTGAGACGGCTCCAAGACGTACTGCGCATGCCAAGTCACCATTTCCTTGACATGCCATGCTGGGAGGAAGTTAGTTTAGGTTGGAAGAGGGTTCAGAGTGACTAGACTAAGACTTGGCACCAGTCAATGAAGTCACTTACTGTTGGTCTGAGCCGTGTTGGGAGATGGCAACTACTTGACTGTGATCCTTAAAACGAAGTGAATCAGTGGTTGATAACTCTTGGTGACATGGCTGAAAATCAGTCACAATGGCGCGGATGTATTCACTCTCTGACGTCTTGTTTAGAGCTTGAATATTCGCGCCAACGTTTATCTTCAAATTGTTTATTCTTTCACACGACTTTGTCGACTATGATATCACTCTTATTCTATCCATAGGTTGTTTGTATGCTACTGTGAAGTGTGGCAACTTGAACCTATGGACTTGTGTGCAAGGTTCTACGTTGATTTTATCAGTCAGTTACCGATTATTTAGTAGATTGGTCACTTCTAAGATATACGCGTTACAGTCAATTAAGTTGCCTTTAAATTGATTGTCAGTTATTCTCGAATACTGTGGTTTATGATCTGGATATGTAACTCAATATTTATTCAAAGGATTTGGGAATATGACTCATATTAATTTGGAAAAATCGAAATGTGCTCTGCGACCACGTGTAACTCTGTGCAGTAGACAGTAAATCGCACCTATTGTATAAGGATTAATGTTTCTATTTGGCTGCCCACGCTTCGATAGGTGAAGCAAAGTTCAGACCCTTTGGTTGAGTGAAATTTGCCTAAACCAATAAGCGACAGCTGTGTGTGTTGATTTTGATATTTCCCCCTCATATTTAGTGAAAACTTGAAACCGAATGATAAGGTAGACGCTAGAGAGTCAAAAGCCTTTGTGCTAAGGAAGTTTTTCTTTTTCAGTTAAAAATGAAAGATGCAAAAGTGAACGACTATAGCGTACACATATGCTAACAGTATTCCTTTAAAGTGGTTATCGAACTTATTTTCATTTCTGGGATTTAAATGTTTCAAGTTTTTCGTACCCTTTTGTTCTTTCAAAAGTGGCAGATGTAACCAACTAAGTCTGGCTTCATGTAAATCATCTTCGTTAAATTATTTGGCTGACGTTCAGACTTCATAATGAGCGGATGTATCGACTTCATTACTTTTGGTATATAATCATTCTTGTTTGTACGTTTACTGGCGGAACGGAACTAGAACGTATGTTGAGCATATCAAGCCACCACCTACCTTGATGTGCAGTGCTAGGAGAAATTGGAATAGGTTGGGAAAAGGCTCAGGATGGTTAGACCAAAATGTGGCACCAGTCCTTGAAGTTTCTGACTGTTGGTTTGAGCCGTGCAGAAGGGTGAAGGCTACCTGACTGAGATCGCCGAAACAATAGGAATCGGTAGTTGCAGACTCTTGGTGAAATGGTTGGAGATCGGTCACAACCGTGCATTTACTCTTTGATCTCTTGTAAAGCTTGGACATTTTCAAGTTGTTTATTCTGTCATACACTTGTCTATTTTCATAATCTTTTTCTTTGTTTACTACTGTGAAGTGTGGCAACTTGAATCGGAGCACTTGTGTGCGAGGTTCTACTTTGGTTTTGTTTATCTATCTGACCAAACGAGAGTGGCTGATTATAGAAAAGATGCTCACTTCTTTAAAAGCTAGGTACTATGAATTACTCATACTTTTGCTGATGATTCATCGAACTTGTTGTTTTCATGTTTCTTGAATCGGAAAGTATACGTCATTAAACCTCTCTATGTACATTACACTGAATTAATTTCAGAGATGTAATTAATTGCTTTTTTATCAGGTTTTTCAAAGCCTTCTGGAAAATTATACGAATTTTGATTAAATTTGTAATTCAGCTAGTGAGATGTTCTTATATAGGAGAGGAAATAATTTCCATTTTTTTGGATGTGCTGGCTTTTATGTAATAACACTGTATGAAAATTAGAAACTTTAAACTGTGTTAATAAAATGTGATCGTTTTTTGCACTGTAACTGTGTGGTTACTAAATTAATTCGTATCAGTTGGAGAAATGCATCAATGCCTCTTGGTAAAGTAATATTTACTCTTTGTTTTCGCATTGAATATGCTATAGAATACGTAAGATATTTAGTAGAGCTATATTTTCCCATTTCAGGTTTGGCAGGAGTGGGAAGTATAAAATAGAAGTATTTTATGGGGACATTTTGATTTAATAATAGGTCTGTAAACTTTTCAGCTATTAGATATTTCCCTTTTCGTTTACCAATACAGTTTTTTCATACAATAAACAAAGTAATTAAGTGTAGTCAGTACCGATTTACTGGCGCAACACATTATGTGATATCAATAACTCATCTGATTTTTGTGTTGTGAGACAAATTATAATACCAGCGTGTAAAAACTTATTGCCAGCTGATCATTTCTATGCTTACCACTAAACTCTGTCACGTTGCTTTAACTTTTCAAACCAATTTGTGCACTAGTTAGTATAACTGTTAGCTCATTTCTTTTACAAATAGGATTCTAGTGGACAAAAGAAAGATGTCCAGTCAGATGCGGATGTGGACCCCGATTCTACTGTTGTCGATCAAGTACCTGAATATGAAACACTGACTGCGAAATTCCATTTTGTTGACCTTGCTGGTAGCGAACGGCTTAAACGAACTGGTGCCACTGGAGATCGGGCTAAAGAAGGCATATCAATTAACCGAGGTTTAGTAAGTACCACAGTGTTTAGTACATGACAGTGTTTTGATTGATGTTGGAAGATTACAGTATGAATCGTCTTTCACTTTTCTAGTTAATTTTCAGTAAGCTTTGATTTTTTTCATTTATCACGCAGTCATATCATATTATTTACTGAATGAAATATTTGTTTAGGGTATTCAGAATTTTCATTTAGTCAGTATCTTCACCTAACAAGATTGTGTCATCTGCGTACTCCAAGTGAACTTAATGTCTTTCAGAGAGCAAGTCACTCCTGTAGAACTTGGAGGACTTATTAACTGTTCGTTCAATGAATAAAATTTGCATAAAGAGCCTCCATCATAATTGGGCTGGTTCCTAAGACTGTCATCACCCTCATCTTATAGGGTGATTGTGGTCAGTGGATGTATGATAATGACTGGACGTCTTACCAGACTAGTTACTTTTGGTATGCTATACTTCTATTTTTGGTCAAGTTTATTTACCCTGAAGACCTGTTTGGGAGTTATCAGATAGATGTATGCATTTAGCCTTGCATTTATGGCATGGTATTTAGTCAAATTAATTATTTCCCATAGTGGCATTGATCAAATGTTAGCTGACAGCTTCTCAGTGGTTTAAAAAGTTTAAGTATTATCACATTGCCGGCATCAAGAAGTCTTATGTAGAATTTCTGATTTTCCCTACTTAAGTGAGATTTTTATTCCCCTCAACTATGTCGTCATTTTATTACCATTTCTCTATCCAAGTCTTATCAACTTAATCAAGTCTTTAGGACAATTACCGAGTAGTACTATTTTTAATGTCTGAATCCTTAATCAGCCCTTCGACTAAACAGCGCAGTGATAACTGAAAGGAGCACTGTAACATTGTTCTGTCTTCATAATCCTTGCTTACTCACCCACGGACTGCAGTTCATATGAAGTGAATTGTGAGGTTTATGGAAAGCTGTCTTACTTCCTACTGAAAGCTAAACGTTCAAATGTGTTTGTCTTTGCAAGTGATTTCAATGCACAAGTGGGTTGGAGCTATGGCTCATTTACGGAAGCAATCGATCTCCAACTGATAGGCTACGGCTTCAAACTTGGCCCAGCCTACTAAGGTTTGCGCGTCTATATATTATCACAGCCTAATCCAATAGGTGTGGGCTGAATGTGCATAAGGGTTACTGGGTGGATATTTGTTCGTTTCGGGTTGGCTAACTTCCTACTAAAAGCTAAACTTTCAGACGTGGTCGTTGTAGCAGGTGATTCCAATGCAGAAGTGAGTAGGTTAAATCAGACAGAAAGGCACTTAGGTGGGTTTTTTTCGAATGCCGCCTGAACGAACAAATAACAGTCGCATCCTACAACTGTGTTCAAGCAATAGTCTAATTCTTATCGACACGAACTTCAGCCATAAAGGCAGACATTTTGGACGTGGTGTCCAATCTCAAATAAAGGGTGAACTCAGATAGACCATATTGCTGTCATTTATCAGTGATGGTCGGTGCGAAATTGTCTTTCCTTCTTTAGATCGTTTTTGGACAGTCATCATGCGTTGTTTCGAGTATACATGTTTGTGCCTAAGTAGACGTGTGAAAACTGCACCACTAGGGCCATTGTGCGTGCCCCTTGTTGATGAGAAAAATAGGTCTGCTTTTAGTAAACAAAACAATGTCACTCATTCAAAAGAAGAATCCTAGAGCCATCTCCAGTCTACTGTATAAGTAACCTTAAAACCGTAGCCTATTTTCAGAAAGTGGTTACAAAGGGTCAGTGGATCTTGGAGGCTCCTTCTAAATAAATAAGTGGACGTGAACGCATTCCCGCAGGTTCTAAACGCAATGAGGAGCGGAAGCAACTGAAATGTAGACTGACAATAAGTCTACGCAGTGGCTACGAGCAGCCGTGGACAGCAAAGGCTAGAAATGGAAAAAGCAGCGGCGATAATTAACGGAGGACAGTTGTTTAGACTCATTCAAGAAAACTAGTACAGATAAAGTCAGTGGCTAGTGAAACTGTAGCGTAGAAGGGTGGGACTGCAGTTCACTCAGGAGAGACGACTGTAGTAATGGGTAGAACTCGTCGAGGAATGTCCTCCATATGCTACTTCTCTGCCTTTTATCCAGTTGAACCTTGAATGAAATATCAAAAGGAAACCCCCAGAACTCTCAAAAGCCGAAAAAGCTGTAAATAACCTAAAACGATGAGACGCAGGACATCCAAACGGACCAGTCCTGATGCTGTGTAAGGATAGTGCTCGAGAATTATGGGTCAGATAAATTAAAGATTTCGATAGTGTATAGGAATCAAATATGACCCGCTTAAACTGGTCTTAATCAATGATCGTTTCAGTCTCCAAGAAAGGAGAGAAATCCTCTTGTAATATAGGAATTAGCTTGACAAATATTAAGTAAGATTCTAAGTTCTGTAATCATTAGACATCTAACTGGAGCTCGGGAACAACATATCCGAGTAAACCAGCAGGTTTTAGATATTATTGTTATTAGAACACAAACATGGTACATCAGTGGCACCAAGAAAAGTGCCACGCAAAATTATAAAGCAGCATTATGAAGACATAAAGCGGAGGGAAGTGAATAGAAATAAAACAATAAGAATAGAATGATTTGAAGGGCAGTCCAGTAAGATACATTCAAAACAAAACATTCCGCTGCAGAAGATAGGAGGGAGCTGCAGCATGGCCACCACTGATTTTGATTCTGAGCCATATCTGACAACGTCTCAAGCCACTGAGTTGTGTGATCTCTCGGATCCCACGTAGGGAGTTGTGATGCACCGACAGATGCTAACCCGATACAACTATCCTTCATCCTACGGCACCACATCGTACACTGACCGCCGCTCCTCTTCTTCCATCTAGTTCCAGGGTTAGCAAACAATGAACAACGTGGAAGCCGTTGGGACGACATGCGTAATACATGTTCCAGCCACCGAAGCCGGTGTTTCCAGATGACTTCACTTATTGAATGACGATCTCCATCATGCTCAAACACACGCTGTCGTGCCTCAGAATTACTTATATGGTGTTAGCACGTGATACGAGCAATCCAACGGAGCAAATGATGATCGGACACAGAATCGTCGCACATCCTCAGCTCTGATAGGCCAGGTTTCAAGGCAAAGAGCTGAACTGCTCTCACTGAAGCGTTACAAACCCGACCTTTCACGGTCAGACTGACGTCTCGATCGCGCCCAAGGTGACTCACATTGACGTACGCCACTCCGGTTTTCGATATGCGGCTGGAAATTCCCCTCTCACACCTCCACCAACACACACAACTACCCAGATACACGGACTTTTCGGCTACTTCCAACAGTTCACCACTTACGATGAACACAGACACAGGCTGCTGCCAATCTTGAAAAGTACTTTTCACTTCGATGGTGCAAAGCACACACGATACTTGTGGACACTAATCGCCAACTGATTAAGTGGGATTTGAATAGCCTGTGTTTTATCGCACAGTAAGACGATATCGTCCGCATGTTCGAGGTAAATAGCCGTTCTCCAAGTAGTAGATCTACATCACCATTACTCATCTCCTTCAGGGTTGTCTCAAGAATGTCATTGATGACAAAGTTAGAGGGGAATGGAGAAATCGGGTAGCCCTGCCTAACCCTACTGCTGGTTTGGAACAATGATGACGGGTTGTTGTATGCGCTTACTCTACCTGGGGTGTTATTATATAGGGCTTTCAAGATGTGAATAAATTTCTCAGGTGCACCCCTCTCCAACAAACAATTACAGAGTACAGCTCTGTCGAACGAATCGAAGGAAGCCTTAGGGTCAAGAAACACAACGATTGTTGGCCTGCAATACATGTGGCGATGTTCAAGCATCTGGAGGAGGGTGAACATATGATCAGTGCATCCACGCGGAATGAATTCAACCTGCTCCTCGCGAATCCTTTCCTCACGTGTTTTGCAAAGTCTGCGAAGTATGATAGCGGCCAATATTTTGGACACTGCTGGTAGCAGACTAATACCCCTATGATTGTCACTTACATTCAGCAGAACCTTTTTAAAGAAGAGCACGATAATGGCTTCATTGTGGAGTGATGGAACACTCTCAGTTGATCATACTTTCTCAATAAATTCAGTCAGCTCCCTGACTAGAGTCATTTCTCCGTCACTAAAAGAGTTAGGTTTAAGTTGTCTGGGCTGGGTGCCTTGTGGCGTTTCGGAGCTCTTGAACTTCCTTATGGACCTCTGCTTCATAAGGTGGGTCAGCGTTAACTGACCAGGAAGCACGATACACCGAAGGTGACAGTGCTAGTGCTGTGGGCCAGCTAAACTGCTTTTCGAAGTACTCCGGCCTGCGTTCCAAGTGTTTTCAAGGATTGTTTATCGAGATGCGATCTACCTCACAGACCGTCTCACTGACACCACGCTTCCTGCTGCCTGTGGCTAGGATGAGCTGGAACATCTTCCGACTACTACCAGATGCAACTACTGTTTCCATCTGACTCGCGCGTTCTGACTACCAAACCCCTTGTTCCCTACGTAAGCGTTGTGTGATCTTTCGCGTAAGAGATTTACTTGAACCATTGTACTCTCTATCCACCGTAATAATCAGATGAGCGTCAACAAGTTGCAGGAAGTTAGGAAAGATTCAGTTTTTATTAGCGGAACGTTCTTCCAAGCCGCAAGCGGCCTGGTTGAGGAGGTCACTCAGCTGATGATATAATTCATCTTTGGTTGCATACGGGCTGCAGTCCGTTTGAGCATAGGCAGAGGTGACGAAGACAAATCGTTTCTTTTACCGGGTACTTCCTACTCAAAATGAACCTTCTAGCCTTACGGCACACAGACAACTGTTGATAGGTATCTAGTCAAATAGTGCAGCTTCATCACGAGCGCTTAGTGCGATGCCAGTTGCCAATGCCACATGGTCCTGAGTAAGCGCATATGAAACACTTACTTTTTGTGTGAATATCTTATGACATACCGTTATTAATTTCTTATTGTGCCATCTCTTCCTCATTTTTTAATTTTTGTGAAGTAATTGAATTATAAAAGTTAATTCGATCAGCTAATTATAACGAAATAGGTTAACAACAATTCGTGAAACCACCCGTTTTTAATTTATTTCTTTTTGAGCTTTCATTATTTTCTATAACCTGAAACAACTAAGGTGCATTCAAGGTCAGGGTTAGTAAATGTCTTCTGAATGGGAATTAATCAAATGCATATGCTTAAATAGCATTATTGCTGTACTTTAAGACTGAAATATTTAGCTCTACCACAATGATTTTGGCTCGTATATATTTTTCAGTGACCCTCTCCTTAGACTGTTTATTGCCATACTAAGTTCTTAGAAAAGTGAACTTCATGAGGATAGCGAATGATAATATCCGCTTCAGTGAAAGCTAGAGGGACACACCAATCATCTATTTCACTTTGACACCCTCATAATGTATGTAGCTGTGAAAAATAGAATGTGCAACTCATTAGTGAGCTTATTTCTTCAAAACGTGACCACATCAAGCTGAGGTTGCTCAACACTTCTCTGTATTCTGCCATCGTCCCTGCAGTAGTACGTGTATATGGTGGTCACATGTAAGCATTTCTGAGGTCAAGTTGTATATTCCTGCCTGATGAAGATTGTTATTTGATTTGGATTTTCCTTTCGTATCAACTTTATTGGTTTAGACACTTTTTACATATGCTTTTCGAGTAGCCTCCGTAACTGGCATTGTTTTTCTATGCTAAAATATTTGGAGATGAAGTTATTCAAGGGCGTGGTGGTATGAGACAAGTTGACTTTTCAGGTTTTATCTTTAATCCTGTGATAGTGGTGTTTTGAAAAGCACCCCACCCTATGGCAAAAAACCAGTTAAATTTAGCACACTTTAATGTATCTTAAGAAGTTGCTTTTGCTTTTCTTGATCATTTTGTTATTCCTTATTTCTCTCCGTTCATGTCTACAGAGATTGCTGTATTATCTTGCCTGGTACAGTTCCTGGTGACCGTTTTATTGTGATTTTCTATTAAAATAGTAATTTAAGTGCATCTTATTATTTAGTCTTTGTGTTATTAACACTAAGTGTTCCTGCCTTTTTTTTTGGATATAAGTTCGAACTAATGGATTTGATGGAAGTGGTTATAACTTGTTTGACCTTAAATGCTTTTGTTGTAGGTTGTTCAATGGCAGTTTTTGGATGAATATTTATTGAATTTAATTTTTTAAGTCACATCAGTATTAAATACTGAAACACCAGCACTTGACAAAAATAACATTAGAACATAAGGATTTCTTCAAAACTTCTATCTAGACCTTGTTTAACAAAGCTTGGAGTTTCATTTGAATTGGATTGAATTAGTGTAGTAACCTGCAAAGTTAAAGATCAGTATACAGACTTCTCTACAAAGCGTTACACCATTTCTCAAAACACTGATTTTAAAAGTTCTTTTTTCTCTAACAAAAGTGTTAACCTAAGAAGGTTGATCGAAACTGCATGTAGTATTTCAACTAAATTGTTACTCACTTCTTCGGTGTAACTCAAGTTCGTAGACGAACGGAAGTTAAGCACTAAATCAGATCACGTCTGTTGCATACATAGGTGAATTCAAGTAGCCAGAAGTGAAACACAGATACGTTTAGACTTTTTGCTAAGTGCTGTTAATTATACTGTTTTCGTTGAACTCGTTAAAATAAACATATTTTTTGTTTCGGTATCATGATTGTTTTTCGATATCTACAAGTTTTAAAATGAAATAGCTTATTCATGTAAAAGTCTTCATGTCTACAAGTAATCCTTTTTCCTCTATCTTTATGTTTAAACTTCATATTTCTAGAGATATTTTTAGCCTGGTTGATTATCGATTTTCCGGACATTCATTTATGGGATACACTTAGTTATTATTTACACACCTCTATCATTTAATGCATTGATTAGATTTACATTTACTAATAGACGGTCTGATATATATTAGAAAAGCATAGTCCCAAGCAGAGAGAAGCATAACGTGTAATTATTGCGAATGTGTAAAATATATTTTGCTATATGTTGCCTTACAAAAAATAAGATATGTATTTTAGTTTCACTAAACTCCTTTTTCAACTTTTATCTTGTTCATACTTCTCTGACTAGCTTGCGCTCGGTAACGTTATATCTGCTTTGGGTGACAAATCGAAACGAGGTTGTCATATTCCTTATCGTGACTCTAAATTGACACGCTTACTACAAGATTCTCTTGGCGGTAATTCTCGTACAATCATGATCGCTTGTGTTAGCCCATCTGATTGTGATTTCTTGGAAACTTTGAACACTCTAAAGTATGCAAACCGGGCTCGAAATATACGCAATCGTGTCACTATGAATCAGGATAAGACAAGTAAGCAATTGGCTACATTGCGCGCCCAATTAGCTGCTTTGGAAGAAGAATTAAATGACTACAGACAAGTCAGTTTTTAGTTTTTGTTACTTTTTAATGGTACGTGTTATACATATATTGTTTGGGAGAATAATTTTTATTGACCTATTAGTTAGATGATCAGAAAACCAGCACCGAAATAGTTGGCGATTCATCATTATTAACATTCCTGATTACTACTTGAATAAACTATTTTTAAGTAAATCCGGAGGTCACCTTAACAACTTCTGGGATAACCATTTACGGTTCTCTATTTTATCACAATTTAACGCAACCGAAATCTCGAAACGTGGTTCATTACTTCATCAGTTGCTAGAGTGGCCTTTGAAGTAATTCAAAACATAGCAGTGACTTCAAATGTCACCCTAACAACTGCTAAAATAACCATTCAGTTTTCATGATTGCATTTGGGTTCTCAGTTTCTAATAGACAGAAGAACCCAGTTAGTTATCTCAGCAGTTGTTAGGGCTACCTTTAAATTCACTCCTTTATTTTATTCTTATAAATGAAGCTGTGACTCATGGGTTTACGGAGATAACTTTCAACTAGTGAGTCATGGGTTTGAACCCAGCTCCAACAGCCGAGGTTTTGACAACCAGGTGATACCATTCGCCACCACACAATATATGTGGCTCATCGGTTACTACAGGAATGTTCACAAGGTTTCTGAGTGCATTTTGACTTCTACTTTTATAAAGTTGAATGTATCGTCTTTGTCCTCTTACCTACACCGTGACCAATAGATTGTCTTTCTAACTGTTTCAAGGCTATCCTGTTATTGGTTGACGGCACCTTGGATATATATATATATATCACCTTCTTAACGCCTCTCAAGATAGTGAAAGTCCTTTGCTTCAACCAGTCTTATTACGGTGAATTCGTGACTTTTGTAGCTATTGGTGTCTGAATATCGGTTAAGAACAAGTGATGGTGACATGTATTTAACCAGTTAGCAAAATATGACGTTGGATGAGTCCTAATTCGACAATCGATATAGGACCAGATAAAGGTGATGGAAACACTGACTGGTTTTTATGTGTCGACATCTCCCAACCGATATCTTCATGATGCTGTTGGCTGGTAGTATTATTACGGAGTTTGTTGGATCCAGATGGTAAGGAAGTTTTGGTATATGGTTCCAAAGGTACAAAAGTTTATCCAGGTTTCATTTCAACAAGCAAGATCAAACCTTAAAAGTCAAACTCTTATCAAATCTTGACCAAGGGGAGTTACATAAACATTTCAATTTGACCCTCGTAACAAAAATTTTGATGCGTGGTCAGTATGAAAAACATCGCTGATTACTGAACGCTTGCTATAATAGCTTGAAATTAATGAGAATAGCGATATTCACACTGAAATCGTCATTGCCAACAGCAAATGTGAGAAATTTCAACTGGATTTACTAGCTGACGACTAATTCAAAAAGCTTATTTTCCTAATCTTCATGACATACACAATTACTCAGTCGTCCTAAACAAGACCTAAGACTGAATTTAAGAGACGTTGGTGAGGAGTATCGTCGCCTGACTGTCGTTCGACAAGATTCCTATTTAATACTAAGCAGCCGCAAGAGTGTCGCACCAATTCACGCATTGATGCAATATCCCCATCAACTGGTTCACCTTCTCATCGACCAAGCCACTTCACAGAAGAATCTCAACAGAGGTTTTCTATACCATATTGGCATTATTTGAAAAGTCTCTCGTTCAAGCAACATGTATGTCAATATTAGGACACATATACGCCGCTCTGGTCGGTATTCTTCCATGAACTCACCTACTTTCTTATCTTCTTTGCCAACTATACCCATGCCTAGCCCCAGCGTTGCTCACCTATTGGTTCCGTCAAAAACCTGTAATCTCTCCTTGTATTCCAATCTCAGTGGTCATGTCTCAGTCATGTAATAGGACAGAGATGACTACAATGGAGTACACCTGTACTTCAGTAGGTGATTATTTTGTCAACACCAGAGATAACGTAATTTGGCAAGTGTATAACAGCTTTTCGAATCTGATCTGAGATTTCGTCATCAAGCAACGCAGCTGAACGAATGGAACTTTCGATGCATTCCACTACTTCACCCCTTATCCTTAAAATAAGAGACAATGCAAAGCAGTCTTGAAGTCTCATCTTACATTCGATAGGTGCAAAATATGTGTCATGCATGCTCAAATATCTGTTCATGGTGCCCAGAAGGCTTTGCAGTTTCCTACTTTTTACACCTACAGGGTTTTGCCAGCTATGTACGAAACTGTTAAGACTTTACGGTTGGTAATGCGGTTTCCAAGTGTACTTAATCTCTGTTGAAATATATATAGTTTGATTTCGATACTTTTATTCATTCAAATCAGTAGAAATGTCTCAGTCCTGGTTATTAAGGGTGGTGCGCTTCAATAAGTGTGATTCAGGTATGTTGTAGGTGGTGCAAACTATGCAGGATGTAAACTCTCAGGAACGTATCTGACAGTTGTACCCACCAATCAGTTATTGTCGACCCATCAGTGCCTATAACTGACTTTGCCTCATGCTTAATGGCCTACTCAGTTGCTCATCCACTCCCTTCTTAAGGTTACAGACTCAACTTTTTCGGAGCAGCTTTTCGTCTTTTATTGTTTGCCCAAATGAATAGTATCATCACAAACAGATTTTCAGTTTTACATGTTCAGATTTCTAAAACACTATCGTTTCCATTGATTTCTGTACTTGGAATTTTTTAGAACCAAAATAATTCCGAGGTAACTCATTGTTTTCGTGAAATTATTGTTCCTTTGTGTTGGTTGTGATTTTGTTTTGCATTTTAAGTCATTTTCATTTCTTTCATAGCTTTCCAAGCTATAAGATTTCTAGACCATGCTGATTTACATCATGTTCACTGCTGTTATCTTTTTGTTCAAGGGCAAAAGACTTGCCGGGAAGAATGGTTCTGCAAATTCGAGTGATTTGTCACATGAAATTAACATGTTGCAGTCTGAAAACGATAAGCTTCGTCTTCGTGTCAAAGCACTAGCCGTTACTGTAGACACTTTAAAAGTAAGCTCATTAAGAGTGCTTTAAGATTATCGTTTACTTTGGTTACACTTTTGTTCATTTTGTATGCTTACATGTATTTCAGCTGTCAGTTCCGGTGCGTCACTTTTCTCTGTTTTATTCGGATTTGGATTTCGCCAACAATGATGATTTGTGTCCAATGTCTTGTCGCACAAACTCGAAGATCTACAGGCGAAAACCAACAAATTGGCAGAACAGGCGATGTAGCGAAGGAAGATGGAACTCCCTTCAGATGAACATGGAGAAGACGGAGGTGATGAAGATACCCAACCAACAACAACAACAACAACAACAATTTGAAGGAAGTTGTTGCTTTCACCTACCTGTCTAAGCAGCAGCGTTCCAACTACAGGCGGTTGCGGTGGCACAGATGAGGATGTCAAAGTCAGGATCGGAAAAGCAAGACAGGCCTTCAATAATGTGAAATCAGTGTGGAGATCTACTACACTGCACTTCACTTCACTCAGCATAAAGCGTGAACAAGATCCGGATTTTCAACACCAACATCAAGTCAGTGCTTCTATGTGATGGTTGAGAGACTTGGCGCGTCACGGAAAGCACTTCCAACAAACAACAGACATTCATCAACAACTGCCGCCTACACTCACTCGATATTGAAGGTCAGATTAGATGGTCAGAATAATAAGAATAAGCAACAAGGAACTCTGGCAACGAACCAACGAAGCAAGAACCTATCACTTAACAAATATGCACTGTAAGAAATTGGAGATGAATCGGATTGGGCATACACTGAGAAGGCCGATTGGGGACATGACGCGCCAGGCCAGGCCCTCGAGTAGAACAGAAAGGGGAAACAACGAGTTGGGCGTCCCAGCTGAGGGTGACATGGAAGAGATCACGTGAGGAAGAAATGAGAGCTTGTGGGCAGTCGTGGTAGCAGGTTCGAAAGACTGCGGAGAAGAGAGTGCAATGAAGGCTTGCTACTGTAGCCCTATTTTTCACTAGGAACCCAAGGGAAAAAAATTATGATACTCTTCATATCAGTTAACTATCAGCTTACAAGTAATGTAGATGAGTCATAAAGTACGATAAGGACTGTTTCACTTCAGATTATTTTTCTCGTAATTGTTAGTAAGTCCCAAAATATAAAGTGCGTTTTTGTAAATGCACTGAAACATTAAAATCAGGCGCTTCGCAGATGCAAATACTATAAATCGGTATCAGTCAAAATCCATACGTTAACTGGTGTCCATAAGGCATACTCATCATCTCTATTTTTAACTAACTTTTTAATAGCCGTTCTCACAAAAGTTCCTTTCCTCATCAGAGTGTTGAGGGATTGATCACAACTCAGGAGACTCCTTAGTAGACTCATGGTACGAAGTTGATAGAACGTATTGAACCAACAGACTGATAATTCGAATAGACTTCTGAACATTTAAGGGACAATTCGAGTATGTTTTGAATGCGTTTCCCACCACCCCAAATGCCGATTTTCGCTTCACGGTTGATTTGCGTCAACACCTCGTTCAGTAAATAATAGAGAGCAAGCTACTTATGTGCACTGACCACTTCAGTTACTTGGGAGTCGGACAAGCCCTGGCAGGTCAGTGACCAACGAAATATTTACACCGACAATCAAAGGCTTATTTGGCCTTCACCAACTCACACTGCTTATTGGTTCCCCATGAAATCCCACTGTCTGTTAAGAGTCGAGTACAATGCACAACAGTTTGCTCTGTTCTACTATGTGGCTGTGGTGAGACATGATTAGTAAAGGTGAAGAACATGAAAAGCCTGAAGGTTTGTCGTGGAACCATTAAGTCAGTAAAGCAGAAGTCAGACATAGAGTTTTAAGCAGAAAAAAAGTCCGTTGATGAGAATGTCAACCTTTATTAGCCCAGGTGACTCCAACAGGTGTTACACATTCCCGGTCACTTTCTGCATCTCCACTTAATGTTAGCTGAAAAAAGGTTAGAGGTAGCCAGACTAATATGTGATATTAATCCTGAATTCTTTCACTGTTGATGTGCGTCATGTTGGGAAATGTAGATTCCCCAGTTGGGGGTCCGCGTGACCGGTGAAACCAATGGTTGCAGACTTTAGGTAGCATGACTCAATAGATTTCAATGGCGTAGATGTATCCATATATCATCTTTATCGTCATACTGAGCTTCAATATTTCCTCGTTGTCTTTCGTTTTCTTATCATCCATATCTTCTTACCGCCACTCACTTTTTTCGTTCTCTGTCATTCATCGTGTTATGCTTTAGCTTATTGATGCGTAGTTACGCAAACCATCACTCAATAATGTCGGGTCCTCCGTTGATACTGACTGACTGAATGTAAAGAAAAACTCATTATTTGAATACCATTGTTTCACTTAGTTGCCTGTATGATTTAAACACATTTGGCTATTTTCTTCACCCTTCAAAACACTTACGAATCTTCCTTTTATTCCCTTTTGTTCCTAGATTCGTTCGTATATTGATCTACATTTTACCATTTACTTCTTCAGGTAAGAAATGCACAGCTTCTTGCAGATCAGGAGACATGTTCCTGGGCAAAATTGAAGTCTCAGGTAATGGGAGCAACACAGATTGATACATTCAATAATCAGAATAATAAAACAGAGCAGGACAGGTCACCACGGAGTTTGATTTCTGCAGATGCCGAAGATTTTCGTCATCTTGTTGAGAAGTATACGGTTGAGGTAGAAGAGTTACGGTAAGTTTTTTGAATTGTTTTTATTCACAGCTTTACCTTATCTCATATTTTTCTGTGATTTGATTAGATGAAAAATCTTCCAAGTTTCCATTTCTCCGATTCCTTTATCGATTTTATCACTGCCATTTATTTGTTTACGTGGAATTTAATAACTAGTTTAGTCAAAATGTTTTAGGTATTCTTGTTTCGAAAGTACTTCGGTGGTAGATCATTTCGCGAATATATTATTAACTCACATCCAGTTATGTTTGACATTAGTTGTGTTAGTTTTTACTGATTTCTCTTACTTTACGTATATTTTTAGCACTAAACTGGTTGAAGCCGAAGCACTGGTGGAATTCAGTCAGCGCCCATACACTCATGCCTCACCAGCTCAGACTGGTCGTTTATTGGAACATTCGTTTACAACCAACTCTAATTTTTCAAAAGCGGACTCAATTTTTACACCTAATCGAGTTGCTTTGACAAACAGTGAATTTCCAGATGTTGACTCCAGTATGTTGGCTGCTGCCGAGGCCGGTTTATCTTCAGCTGGCTCATACTTCAGTAGCGGAGTACGTATGGATGGGGATACAGTCGAATCCACCCTCGATTATTCTCACAAACTTCGTAAGCGTCGACGCAAAAAGAGACAAATTACTAGTGCCCAAAGTGAAGAACGCAAACCTCTCAAGTCAAAGAGTGAGTATTACTTTCCATTATATTTTATACCCCATGTAAAGTGCTGGGGTAGTTTTCCAGTAGCCTGGGCTCGAGTTTTAAACATAATGTAGTCGGTTTAAACCTTTCGTAACTAGTGAATACTGTTGTATCTTTTCCTAATAATTAAGAGTCACTCAGCAGTTACTCTGTTTTACATTTTCACTGATCTGAACTTTCATTTCTAAACCTAGTAAATCTCAAAATTTATCTAGGCGTAAAAAATGATTTTAAACTAGAAATATCTCCACTCACTTTAAATATTAGATTTTTGAGGCTGTTTGTTCTTTATATGAAAAGGGAGCTTACGATACTACCTGGCTGTCCAAGCCGAATTAACCGGAGTGGGAATCAAACCCCGAGACCTATTGCTTGAAATTCGAGTCCCCAGCATCTGCATCTATAGTAAATTTCGTCAAAACAGTCAGAGAATTTAGTTAGTTCAGATTATTTGAATTGTACTATCTTGGTGAAATATACGTTTGCGCTCTGAGTCGTTACAGTGTTGTGTTTTTCTGCATACAAATAGTTCATGTCACTCGTGTATTCATTGTCACAGAACAGTAGATTTGCATCTGTTATTTGGTCATTAAAGTAATGTGCCTAGTTGAACATCATAAATTGTATCTTGATCCTGCTTCCTCATTTTTTCTTTTAGTCACCAATGTTGATACGTTTTCTGATGTAGAAAATTCTAAAAGTTTTAGTTCTCAAAGGAGAAGGTTTCGAACATTTCTCCCCAGTAATGCAGATGGAGCCACAGTTGAAGCGCTTGATGAGGAGGAGGATCGTGAAAATGAAATGATTGAAACAGAAATCATTTCTATAGCGGTAAGTATCTATCAGTTTCTGACAGATCGAATAAAATGTTACACGTTTTTCCCGCTAACCTCTGCATTATATGTCTATTTATCATGTCGCCAATGAATGCTTTGTTGGGACGTATGCTTTTCGAAAGATTTCGCCCTGAAGACTTCGTTAACTAATCATCTCATACATTGATATAAAACTACGACTTGGGTGCTGTGGTAGATTATCATTGCCTAATATACCTTATTAGATGTTGCCCAGTGTGATACATCTGACAAATAAATTGTAAAGAAATTAAAACGCCTATATTACTTTCTAGGAGAACCTACTACCACAAAACATTTAACCTGGAAATAAACATACTTTTTTCTATGTTGTCAGTTGATGTAAGTTTACTGTGAACGCCAATGATATATATATATATATATATATATTCGTATGACTGGGAGTTTACAGTCATAGAATTTGTTTTACTAATATTAGATGGTGCAGTCGTGGACCAGGAGTACTTACCGAAAAGTAACAACGTAATTGGTTTTAGAATTTCACGAAGACAGTAACTGCTTGTCAACGTGCTTGAATATATTTTGGATCATGGAAGTGAAATTTAAGCCGTTGTTTGTAAATAACCCTTCGAAAGTGTGTTCCGTGTTATTTCTGAATGGAATTAGTTTGATTTACAAATGTCGTATTATTTTCATGTTGTTCTCTCATGACTTACTCTGCATTAATAATCAAATTGATCTGTGGCCCATTGGTGTGGGGAAATAACTGTTAACCAAGTGGGTCACGGATTCAAGCCTCTCCTCCACCTACTAAGGCTTGGAAGTCAGGTAGTATCAACAGCCCTCACACGATAGGTGTGGCTCTTTGCCTACTGCATGAATGTGCACACGGTTGTTGAGTTCATTTCGTTTTTTCCCGTATTTCCATTAACATTAGATTGTATTCTAAGTTGCAGCAGCATTTTATTTGTTTCTTCGTCTATAATTTAATTTATGGTTAAAATGTATATTTTTCTTGCTTTGACTTCACCTCCAGAATTGATTTCCTTGTTTTCAGAATGACAATGGAAATTTGGGAGATGAAACCCTCACAGGTAATGCAAGCGCCTCTAGCAGTGATTCAAAGTATAGACAGAATAAGATCAATGATGCATCAGAATTGAATGGTTCAAATTCAGATAGTGATTCGGAGGGTAAGATATTTCCACAATGATTTCCATGTGCTTTTCTCTTGCAGTACAATATTTGACACTTCTGATTGCGAAGAACGTTTGTATGCCTAATTTTAACCTCAATAGTCAACCCCATGCATTAGTCAATCAAATCAGTAGTTTGAGTAGGTTATCATGTGTGGGTTTTTTTCCTAGGGTTTCATAGAATCTACATTTTGATGGACGCAAGAGTTGTTTTTGAGGGAAAATTTGCTGTTACTGAGGTCCAGTGGTGTGTAGTATCGGTATAGAGTAGTGTCAATTTCCCAATTTCGGTAAAGAGAGTCTATTTGGCAGTCATTCTCGAAGCTGTGAAATCGAAAACATATATGCAATTGTTTTCTTTAATCCATTGAATGCGTTTGATGTCTACACTAATTTTTGATCAGAAAATATGGTGACAAACGAACATATCGAAGAAAGACAGTTGTATATATTTGGAGTTGTACAGCTCCTAGGATGTAATTTCCTAGAAAAACGTTCTTTCTTTCTTACTTCTTGGTGAGGATTTTCAGTACATTGTGAAATCTTATTTGAAACGTACATTTTCACCAGATAATGATCCACGTGAAATAATGTAGTAACATTATGCAGGAATAAAAAGATAAAGGGTTAGGAAACTAGTCTTGACAAAGTAGCAGTTCTACAATGTACATTCGGAAGTTTTATACTACCTGTATAGTGCTTTTCAGTAATTGGCGAAAGAAGAAATTATAGCATACTCTCTACTAATTTTTATTCTGGGCCGTATATGATAAACCTCTCAATGATTAGTTCTGCTCGGCTAAAGGGTAAGCTGAGGTATTCATTGCTAAACTGCAAAAAAACAAAGAGCTTATATTATCTAATTCACCTAGTGCCTAAAATCAAAGTTGTTCAGTAAATAGGAATTCACTAACTGCCAGTGATTCCTTCAAATCCTCTCAAACCCTAAAATTTTCCAAGTATTTAGGAATCTGCAGACATCGGGATAACCTAAAAGTGTGATTGTTTTCTCAGAGGGTATCATTTGATCATCACTTTATTCAAACATTTTATTGCATATCCATTTCAGTATCTGAATAATACCTTATTCTTCGTAGACATGGCCCAACCAATAACCGAGCCAGCATGTTTGTTGTTACTGAATTAGGCATATTTCTCAGATAGGTACTTGTCAGTTTTGCTTGTGAGTTTTTTATGGAATTCGGTGCTTAAACGTCCCTCAATTAACTTTGTTCACCAACAAATAGTTTCGTTATTATTCTGTTGATATACTTTTGTTTAATAGATACCGATGAAAATAATATCTTGTTAGGAAATATGAGTGATCACACAATTGATGATAAATCTTCGTGCAGATTGAAAGAAGCTCGATTACATCAGAGTTTAGCCCACGTATCTTCTGAAATTGATTCTAAACAAAGGTTGATTGCTGAGTTGCAGGCTAAAGCTGCTGAACTTGATCATCTGAAAAATCATTATGAACGCCAAATGGCAAATCTTCAATGGCGGATAAAGGAAACAGAGCATGAAAGAGATTCTGTAATTGCTAATCTAGGTCAAGTTGAACACACAGGTGAAGAGCGTTTAAAGCGTACTCGGGAGGATTTTGAAAAGAAATTATCGGCATTACAGGTACGTTCGTCTTTTCTCGTTTGATTTTCAATGTTCTTTTTTCGGAGAAAAACTTATTTTAATTAAGTGCATAATCTCTGAACTGATTGTACTACTTAGTTTTATTTTTTCGAATTCAATAGGAGGAAGTTTCACAACTGCATTTGTCTCGCCAAGAACAAATTCGGCTAGAACGACAACAAGCTAAAAAAAATGGTGAGTTACATCAGTTACGGCAAGAACTGGAAGAACTACGTCGTTACAAAATCACTTTAACCAAGCGTTTAAGAGAAGAGACGCAACGTACACGTCAGTTAGAGGCTTTGTCAGCTAGGCGTGTTATGGAATTAAAAAAAATCAAATCTCAAGCTGATCATCAAATAAAAACTCTGGAAGCAGCTCACTCGGCTAAAGATCGTGCTTTGCAACAAAAACAAGCTGAGGTAATCATATCCTGTAAAGTGTTATTAGTAAACCTTTTTTCGTAAATTAGCATTGTTTCTCATACTTTTATTTATCAATGCTCGCTGATATCAATTTTCTAGTTCTTAATTTTTGTGAATCAGCTTCCATGTTATTTCATTATAAACTCTTTTGAATTATGACTAGAACGGAGTCTGCCATGGTATTTTGCAAAATTGCATCAGCTGCCTTGACATTTGCGAGTAAATGCCTTAAGAAGCAGCTGCAGATCTGAACTATTATTGAGGTATCGTCACGACTTCGGTCGCTAGCGACAGCCTGATAACCTCTGAATGAATAGGATTTTTGTTTTAACTGTTAGGGATTTTAGTTGGATTATAGGAATAAGACGACTCACTTCAAACTAATCTCGGTAGCAACAGTGACAATTAGTATTCACTAAGTAAGTGCACTCTTCATTTTTATTCGAATGTACCTCGAAGATAACTCCACCTTGAAATTCTCCAAGGTAGATTTCCTGCTTGGATATCTGTAAATGTGTTAGCAACAGGCATCACCTTTAGTAGATAGGCTAGTAATGCTCAGTTGTACACATTTCTTTAGCGAAAACATACGTTTTTAGCCAATTTCCTTTAGCAGTAATTCGCATTCATTATAAACTCGATATTTGGATGTCAAATAACTAAATACATTGCCAAAATTACCTCAACAATTCAGTTGGTCCCAAGCCCGATTCATTTGTGATAGAGGAAACTTCAGCACGTAAAGAGAAAACTTAACGAGTAGTTTTCAACCCCCTGTACCCACTTGAATACAATATTTCTATCTATAAACCGTCTGACGATATAATCTGCATTCGCTTGTTTAAGTATGAAGACGTAAAAGTTTAGTACCTAGACGGCACAACCGCTAGCATAAAACAGTAATGTCATTTATCATTCAGTGGAACATTATGGAAGTGCATTCATGTGCAGAAATTGTAAGGATAAATATTCCATCATTTAACTCATTGTTTTTACTTACTGTTTGCATTTTGGATGTTTTAAATTCAACTTTTTGGTTTTCCTCTTCTATCTCAAATTTAGCTGTTCGGTGTTTATAACATAAGATGTAAAGTATGATGCATAGTCGAATGATTATTGACTAAATGTTTATTCTATTCATTTAGTTTTACCTGCATAATGAAGTAAACAGTAAATATTGACTCAGATATGTGGATTAACTGATCATGTCAATGGAGACCTTAATCTTTTTTGATCACATAATCGATATTTGATGTGTTTTTATTTATTATTATTATCATTTGTCCCTTCGGTTCCAGTGGGACATAGGGCCTCAGTAGCACGTCGCCATTTCACTCTCTTCTCTACAGTCTTCTTCTTTAACCTAGCTTCATGACTGCCCAGAAGCTTTCATTTCTTCCTCACACGATCTCTTCCATGCCACCCTCGGACTCCCAACTTGTCGTTTCCTCTTTGGGTTCCACTCGAGAACCTAGCGCGTGATGTCCCCCAATGGTCTTCTCAGTGTATGCCCAATCCAATCCATCTCCAATTTCTGCATATTTGTTGGGTGATAGGTTCGTAGTTCGTTGCCAACCAGCCAAAGTTCATAGTTGCTTATTCTTATTATTCTGGCCAGCTGATCTCATTCTCAGTATCGAGTGAGCGTAGGCGGCAGCTGTTGATTTATGCCTGAAGTTCGTTGGAAATACTTCTGGTGACACGCCAAGTCTCTCAACCATCACATAGAAGCACTGACTTGATGTGGGTGTTGAAAATCTGGATCTTGTTCACGCTTTATGCTGAGTGAAGTGAAGTGCAGTGTAGTAGATCTCCACACTGATTTCACATTATTGAAGGCCTGTCTTGCTTTTCCGATCCTGACTGACATCCTCATCTGTCAATCGGTGGGGTTGTGAACCCTTGCCTACCTAAAAGTCCAATGTTGCCCGAAATTAGACCACGATACACGAAACCTAAGGTAGTCAGATCATAATATGGGATCAATCCGTGAAGCTGTTGATTATTGGTCTAATTCGTAGAGTAGTGTAGGCTGCCTCTTTGACAATCTCGCAATGATCGGAATCGACGGTTGGAGATTTTCGATTATCTGACTGGGAATCTGTCACAATTTCATAAAGTATGCGCTTGTCATCGAGATTTCGAGCATTTTTATTCACCTCCATTTATTTGTTTATTTAGTTTGCTTGAAGTTATGCACTTTTATCTGCTTTGATGTCGTTTTGCTAATCTCTACTTCTTTTTCTGATGCGAGTTAAGTGTGGCAACTTTAAGTGATGTACTTCTGCGCCAGGTTCTAAGTTGATCTATCTGTTTCAACTGGAATAATTCAGCGTCGATTTGTATTGTATATAAAATTGTATTTATTATTTATTTATTTTTCTTTTGGATTCCTAATTGTAACATAGAGCTTCAGTAGCACACCTCCTCTGCAGTCTCTTGGACCTGCTACCACGACTGCCCACAAGCTCTCATTTCTTCCTCACGTGATCTCCTCCTTGTCACCCTCGTCTTGGACCCCCAACTCGTCGTTTTCCACATCGATTCCACTCGTGGGTCTGGCCTGGCGCGTCATGTCCCCAATCGGCCTTCTCAGTGTATGCCCAATCCGATTCATCTCCAATTTCTTACAGTGCATATTTGTTAAGTGATAGGTTCTTGCTTCGTTGGTTCGTTGCCAGAGTTCCTTGTTGCTTATTCTTATTATTCTGACCATCTAATCTGACCTTCAATATCGAGTGAGTGTAGGCGGCAGTTGTTGATGAATGTCTGTTGTTTGTTGGAAGTGCTTTCCGTGACGCGCCAAGTCTCTCAACCATCACATAGAAGCACTGACTTGATGTTGGTGTTGAAAATCCGGATCTTGTTCACGCTTTATGCTGAGTGAAGTGAAGTGCAGTGTAGTAGATCTCCACACTGATTTCACATTATTGAAGGCCTGTCTTGCTTTTCCGATCCTGACTTTGACATCCTCATCTGTGCCACCGCAACCGCCTGTAGTTGGAACGCTGCTGCTTAGACAGGTAGGTGAAAGCAACAACTTCCTTCAAATTGTTGTTGTTGTTGTTGTTGTTGGTTGGGTATCTTCATCACCTCCGTCTTCTCCATGTTCATCTGAAGGGAGTTCCATCTTCCTTCGCTACATCGCCTGTTCTGCCAATTTGTTGGTTTTCGCCTGTAGATCTTCGAGTTTGTGCGACAAGACATTGGACACAAATCATCATTGTTGACGAAATCCAAATTTTCTAGGGTCTTTTCATCGGTCCATGCAGCGTATGTCCCTCTTCTCGCTCCTCACAGTTTCTTGTATGATCCGTTCTATGATGATGCCTAGCACATCTTTGCAATTTGATGCGCACATGATTAGTTCTTCCTGAAACCAGCTAGTCAGGCAGCCAGCCTGTTCCGGTTGTAATTTGAATCCAGGTCATGTTCTAGTCTCTCTGGGATGATGCGGCCTAATATTTTGCTTGGTGTGGACAGAGATGGAGCATGATTTCTTACCATTTCTAGGAAAGACTTACGGGAGTTCGACAAGGCAGTCCTTCTTCCCGTCATCAGATACCTTCACTTCCTTCCTCCTTAACCTTGTGCTATAGTGGTGTGAGCATGTCTGCAGATGTCTCTGCTCTGCGTCTTTTTTCAGTGCTTCTGGAGGGATTCCATCTGGTCCTTCTGCTTTCATAGATTTCAGTAACTTTATGGCGTTCAGGACTTCACTTCTGCTTTTGTCGGAGGGTTTGTGTTGACTGGTGGTTCTGTGAGTGAGCTTCTGGTAGTATTTCTGGACTAGTTGCAGGTGGTGGTGGTGATCGAGTCAAGAGTTTTTTGAAGTGGTCAGCCGATCTTTTTTTTTGTTTCTCCTCTTTGCTAACTAAGTTTCCTTCACTATTTTTCATTGGTTTCATCTGTGTTGTGTTGATGTCTTCCCTATCAGATAGTGACCTGGTTATTTGATATAGTGTTGTCATGTCTCTCCTACCAGCCATCAGCCTGTTCTGCTTCACTTGCAAGTGTGTCGTAGAAGTGTCTTTTGCCTTTCGACAGACTCTTCTTCACTCCTTTGTCCAGTGTTGTGTAGGTTGTATTCAGTTCTGCTTTTCGCTGTTAATCCGTGCACTGCACTGGTTCGCCTGCTTCACCATCTTCCTCTCCCTGCTCTATCGGCCTCCATGTGTCCGTGTAGATCCATTCGTTGTCTCGTCTTGTTTCTTCTTCCTTCCTAACACGGTTATGCAAGTTCCCCTCCACATTTCGTTCAAAGAGTTCTAGTGTTCTTCCACATAGGTTTGTTCACGGATGTTGCTTAATGTCTCCCATTTTGTTGTGATGACTGACGTGAAGATGTCTTTTGTGGTTTCATCCTTTAGTCTCTGAGTGTTGAACTTGAACTGTGTTCTATCACCAACTTCTGTAAAGGCTTTCAATTTGATTTTGTGGGTTTCTTGTAGTAGATAGTAAGTGGTTTGAACCTACATCTGCTCCTTTTCTTGATTTTGTGTCCAGTAGGCTTCGTCTCCACTTTCTTGAGACAGTATATTAGTGAACTATGTGAGGTTGTTTTTATTCATAGCTGTTGCGTATTATTTTTCATGGTTAACGTTCCAATTAATTTTATTTTGTAGTTGGATATCCTCAAGCGAAAAAATCTTGAGCAGCAAAGACAGCTGTCTTCTTCTTTTTCTGGTCGAATGACTCAAAGCGTTATTGGAATGTCAGGGGCGAACTGGAGTTCATTACGTAAACCGGTTAGTCGAGTATCTTTAACTGGTTCAAAGTACGGTCGTAATCGGTTTGTTGGAGCAGCTAAAGCTAAATGGGCTCTGGTTTCTCAAAAACTGGATGCAGATGTTGAACGGCGTAAAAAGTCTGCACGCCTAGAACATGATCTACAGACGTGGATTCGTGAGCGTGAGAGTTTAGGACGCAAACTGAAACGACTACAGCTGCGCAGAGCTCGTATTGAAGAAAATATTACAGATGAATCAGAACAAGTCAGTAACTCATGTCGACTTGCTGAATTCAATGAACAAGTATGTTTTATTATGCTACTACTTAGATCTTGTCGATTTACGAATTGAATGACTCATTGTTGAAGATAACATGCGATTTCTCATCATGTATATGATTTTTTTCTGCTGTTTTAGATAAGAAATGTTACAGCGCAACTCGAATCTGTCCAGGATGCAATACAAGAATGTCAAGCTAGTATTATCGAATTTGAGAAATGTGAATCTCAGTCATCAAAAATCACTGGGAATAAACAAGCAAAGTCCATTGACTCACGACAAGGCCTCTCTTCGAACATCAGTCAGTCGAATAGCGTTCATGCATTATTCTCAAGTTGTACATTAACGGAAGCCCGCTTTCTGCTTGCTCAACTTTTTGAGACGGCCGTTTCTCGTGGTTTGTTAGCAAGTCGATTACAACAAAATGAAGCTCAACTAAGAGCCAATCTATCGGTAAGGGAACAAGAACGGGAGCAGGAATTAGAAATGCTCAAGTTAGCAATGCAACATGCTGGAATACCGCCTGACAGTTTGGAAGCAATCTTTTCCGTTAACGAGCGTTCAGTTAAAAAAACTAACTATTGCCCACATCATGGAACACTAAGTAATCCTGGTTGTGAATGTTGTACCTATGGTATATCATCTGCACCGATTTCTTCTGAAGATTCCTCAGATGATGTACAGAACGGGGATAATCAGTTACAGATGGATCCCAGCCTCTCAAATAATCAGATTAATTTTAGCTGTCTCTCCGCTCATCAGATGTCCCAATCTATGTATGCTAATTTGGAATTATCAAATGCGTCAAAATCCGGTGAGTGCTTGAGTTTTTTTCTAAGCTCGCAACAAATTTTCGTTGGTATACTTGGGCTTAGGAAATCGGCATAATTTTAACTGTTGCAATCTCTGAGTGTTAAATAAGTTTTCTCGAAGCATATGTCGTGTTTTCAAGTATCTGGAAAGACTATATTGCGTGTTGTTATTTATGCGATTTCCGGTGAAAGTTTTCTTTGACTTGTTCTAGATTGGATTGAGGAATAAACATTATTGTCCTTGCAATCTGCAACTTTTTGCATTGCACATAATACTAGTCATTCATTACTTCGGTTTGTACCGCTTGTCAGATTTGCGTGTATATATATATATATATATATATATATATATATATATATATATATATATATATATATATATATATATATATATATCGAAATGCACCCAGCAACCACTGATATGTGGATTAGTCACTGAGCCACATCTATTTTCAGAGTAATAATACCTTGCTTCCCAGGCGTCAGTATTTGTGATGGGGTACGAACCAGTTACCCATCGATTGAAAGTTGGGACTCTAGACGTTGCTCCACATGTGTACAAATCCCTAGCAGTTCTAATTATGCACGGTTAGTTACGTCCTCAGAGTAAATAAACTTTTCGGTAGTGCCAACGTACTCCTTTTCTTTCTAGTGACACTAACATTTGAAGGCTTTATTCGTTGGCAGTACCAAGGGAAAGACACAAAAATCAACGTAGAACCTCGCACACAGGTGCATCAGCTTAAGTTGGAAATCTTCTCAGTAGTATACAAACAACTGGTGGGAGAATAAGGGTGATATCATAGTCAATACAGTTTTGTGAGAGAATAGACAATTTGAAGATAAAGGTTGGTGCAAGTATTCCAACTTTGAACGAGGCGTCAAAGAGTGAATACATCTGCGCCATTGTGGCCGACTTTCAGCCATGTCACCAAGAGTCATCATCCACTGATTACTTCGGTTTTGGGGACCCCAACCTTGCAGTCTACATCTCTCCATAAGACTCAAACCAACAGTCACAGACCTGATGCACTACTGTCACGTATTAGTCTGAACACCTTTGACCCTGTTTCAACCTACCCCAGCTTCTTCCAGGATGGCATGTCGACGTAAACGGCGGGTCGCCATGCGCAGTACGTGCCGACGCCACTTCAGTCGACTAAGATTCATAACCTCTTTCTTGCCTGGTATCCTTCGTCTAACCTTACCATTACCCACACTTTGATTCTACCAAATTGGAGCAATGTTAGAAGACACCTGTGTTCAAAACCCTGTGATCGCTTCACATCTACTTTAACGGCTTGTCTTGCAGCCATATAACAGCACCGAACGGATTGTAGCGTAGTATACTCATCCTTTGACACATTGTCGGACATCTTGCTAGTAGGCACCAGAGATGACGCAAGTTAGCAAATGACAAATGGGCCCCCTTTATCCGAGCTGAGATTTCGTCAGCAACCAGCCCGTTCGGGCTGATGCTACTCCCCAAGTAAGTGAAGTTGTCGACATATTTTGCCACTTCACTGGTTATCATTGAACTGGGAGTACTCTCAGTAGATCAGCCCTGGAGCATCAGCTTACTTTGGTAGGTGTGAGACTCATGTTCACTACACTGCAATTTCCGCTCAACGCGTTCAGAAGACTGCATTTTGTCAGCGTCTTCATCTATTAGAAAAATTTCGTCTGCATACTCCAAATCAACAAGACAACCTCCAGAGAGTAGATCAATCCCTGTGAAGTCGGCCATACCTTAGATTCTGGGCATTTATACGTCTATGACGAGGTTAAATGGGAGTTGTGACAGTGAGGAATCTTTGTGGACACCACTTGTGTTCGTGAGTTTTAATGGCAATTCTTCATAAGCCCTTACGTGACTGCATGAGTTCGAGTAGAGAGCTTTGATAAGCACCGTATACTTGCTTGGTACTCCCTTCACAGTCAAACACCACGTCACCTCCCTCGAAGTTACAGGTACAAAACGTTGATCACAGAGTTCCCAGTTTATTTATCTCAATCAACTCTCATCGATCTAAGTCTTTCATGGAAGTATCATGAATTTTAACGTTTGAAAAGTTCTATGGTCATTTAGAAAAGTCAGGTGTCACATCAGTCTTGACGGTACGATGTTTTCACAAAATTACGTGTAGATAAAGTTTCACCTTCTTCACTTAACTCAAATTTCCTTAGTTGTTACTTAGCCTAAATTGGTGAATTCCTCATAAAGTGAGTATTTTATGGTACTCAGTTTTAATTTTTACTAGACAAGTTCGAATTTATAAAGAATATTGTCTTAGTTCTAATGATTTTTCACTATTACGCCAACCAACAGATGAGTAGTTATTCCTTTTCGTCAAAGCAAACTGCCAACAGCTGACGCTTGTTTGCTATGTGTACTTTCTGCATTTTTGATGTTCTTGTGTCTTCCTAACTAAACATAGATATTATTTCAGATCTTATTCCCATGATTCAAGCAGATCTGAAAGATTACATTTTTCATTTCCTGGAGATTTTTCATATTTTTGAGTCGTTAGTTATATCATGAAGTAGCTTTTTTCGTTTATGACTTACACTTTTAGGTTAAAAATAGGGAAAAGTATAACGGTGATTAAATGAATAACTTGAGTTTTTTCTAAATGCTATAATAATAACTAAACAACTTCGTGCTCATGGTTTCACTTTCAGATGCATCAGATATGCCTAATGGTTACGGAGTTTCAGATAAGTGAGTTGCTAGTATTATTTATTGTTCATGTTTTTTTTACTGTACTGTAATCTCCACTTGTAGTGGTATGACAAATCTGTATCTTGATCGGCCTTACTATTCTCAAGCTATTGCTAATCTAAGTCGCATTGTAACCACTTTTTAGAAACAAACCAAAAATTTCTTTATTGTTGTTAAATGTTTGGCATTTTATGTGAACTTAGTCTTTTCAGTTATATATGGGTAGATGTTATGGCTTTGTTGATTAAATTCGTGAGTTATTGAGTTTTTTTATTCGAGACGTTGAACAGTCCATTGAATCGGCCACACCCATGTTTTTTGTTTTCTATGGAACGAGAGGACAACAGTGAATCACTAGAAAAGTAGCATTGCGTCTTTATGTTTGTCTAGCTATTAAGATGGTGAGAAGTCAGGTAATTCTTTATCAATACAATGCTAAGCAGCTTCTCTATGAGTTAATGTCAGATAGTGAACGTACAGTAGAAACTGCATCTGAAAGAACTACTTTCTCAGTCACTCAACTTCGTGCTATTAAATCCACATCGTTTACCAGTATGACTATTTGGTTGACGGACTGGCATGTAAGTAAGTACCCAGGGTCGAACATCACAGTTGAAACAAGACAAGTAAATGAAGTCATAGCCAGATGTTTTAATGATGGAGGTGGGAGTCTAACCAGTGAGCCAGAAAGTTTCAAATAAGGGATTAAAGCACATAAAAGAAACTTTACTTCCCCACGAATATCATTCTGAATTTTTTTCAGAATGACTTACAAAGAAAGAGAAATAGTTATGTGAGCGATAATCCCAATAGGAATAAGAAGGAGCTCATTGCCTCTTTAATGATTTGCAATATAAGAAAGGGACGTCAGAAAACCTACGTATGTTTTCCAGAAATGCTGGGATTAGAGCGGTACTAGAACCTACGAATTTTAATGGCCCAATTAGACAATCTAGTTTAATCTTCCAAATATAGTACAGTGAGTGTAAACTCATGTACAGGTGAGACCAGAGGATCGACGTCAGTTAAGTTGGCAGAATATACGAACTTACGTAAGTCTGGAATGATAGACCCTATCAAGATGATTAATCTAGTGGGTAGTTCAGTCATTTGAAGCATGCAATGACACAACCGCAATAGATTTGGACAGAGTAAGTGCTAACGAGAAATGTATTTAGGTGGAGGGTGAAGTTGACGCCTAAATCCTTGTTCTTAGAATTAACACCTAACACATATTGCTACCTTGAAGTAGTGATTAGGCTTACCTACCACAGTGACCAATGAACTGTGCTGGCTGGGACCATTATTCCTTAAGGTCTTGCCATGCCAGAAAGCTCTTGTGGATAGTGATAAGGCCATAAGCACTTACTCCAATAGTGTAAGTAGCTTACTCTATATTTCGGGTCTGAGGACGAAGTTATGCTACCGACTGACTGGAGTGTGATAGCAGTAGGCTACTTCCCACGGATCACCAGAAGTATACTGCTGATGTTGCCTTCTTCGTGGATAAGGGGATTAAAAAAAGGCTACCCATCCTTCCTTTAAAGCAGTACACTCTTTACCCTTCAGTATTCCGATACTGGCGTTATGATTTTTTCTTGTCCGGTGGGGGAAATCATGATCCCAAACTCTAGAAGGTTGGGTATGACTGACCTTGAACAGGTATCCCCTGTGCTACATGGTTGCTCACCACCACTACTAATCTAATTTGTCTAATAGGTATCTAATCGAAACAACTTCCACGGCGTAGCCAAACAGGAAGTGCATCCAGTAGCATATAAAACTCAAATACCCATAATCTACCTCGCGTACCTTTGTTTTCTTGACTTTCTGATGCCAATTAAAAATCTTTCAATTTTCATTGCTAACAATCTACGTCGGCAAAACACTATTTCTAGCTACCTAAAACCGTGCTGCCAATTTCGCTTAGCAGCTTCTAATGTTCGAACCCTGTTCCAAATCGAACAGCAAGAGTCTCTTACCAAAACTGAGATTTGGAGCCGTAAATGTATGCTAGGTTTCTGAGATAAGAATATGGGACCCAATTACAATTATTTACTTGACCTTACCTGGTCAATATAGGAAATCTGCGGAATTCATTTGACGAATATCCGAAGATTCAATGGTTAGCTCCGCTGAACTTGCTGGCATATATATTTCATTAGGTTATAGAGTAGAAAGCACGCTTCCCGACCGGATACCAGTTAAATTTACCTGCATGGGAACTGAAAAACCCTGGGGGACTCGATATTTATTCCTAGTTTCCGCCTATGTACCTTATCGGCTGCTGTTTGGACGATACGCTGTACCAAAACCTGTCAGTTTAGCTACATAAAACAAAAAGTTCGAATATAGTCATACTGATGGGCGACTTCAACGCTCAAATTAGGAAACTGAGTCAGTCATTAAAGCAACTTGTGCATATTTACGGTATCTCATGCCAGCAAACCAACAGTAACGATCTCCTACAATTTTGTTCTGAAAATTACTTGTTCCTAGCAGCACTAACTTTGCACATAATGAGCGACCTTGTCTCATTTGGTGTCTGTCAACATCATGTCAACTTTGAAGACAGGTATCGTTGAGGGTGTTCGGTGAGGGAGATGTTATTCTTTTCAGATTGTTTGCCTGGACTTCGATCTAGCATTACTGAGAATATGTATGCGTTTGGACCTTAGTAGAAACAGAAAGCATTCAACAATAAAGCCTATGTATGCTTTACTTTAGGTTTTAAACATGAAAGGTATTTTCGGAGAGGTAGTAGTTAAGTATTTTTCTAAACACGGTAGCGATTTTCAACTGGATGAATCTTGCTTGAGATAATATTCAGCCTGCCATAGAAACATCAGTAAACGCAGCTGGTAATTTACATCTATAGGTTATCAAAGGCCAGTGAATCTCTGCAATCTTATCCGAACTAACCGATATGAGAAGACTCAGTACGACTGGTTGCTATGATAAGGAGAAGCGATAACAACCTTAATGTGAATTGACTCACAGTTTTCGTAACGATTGCAAGCAGTGGTGAGTGAGGAAAGTGAAAGATCGAAGTATTGTTATTTAGCAATACTGGGCAGATAAGTAAATTTACAAAAAAACTAACATGAAATAGACGATGACCAATTAGACTATCACAGATAAGGATAGGTATCTGATGGCATCTCAACATAAGTAGTTAGGACATTAAGCACAACAGTTTGGAAGCAGTTCAACGGAGAACAACTACACCTTACACACTCAACATCCACAGTTGGTGGACCTCCACCTCTTCTCGAAGTTGAAAAAATTATTTTTAGGCTTAAACGATGCATAACCTCTTGGTTTGCCACTGGAAGTCTTTTAAAATTGTGGTACAAAAGTATTGAGTGGAGTAACGGAGTTAATAGTCAATATCTGGAAGTCAGAAGTATTTCCATCAGACTGGTTTAGGTCGCTAATCATTCCATTGTGTAAGAAAATAAAAAATCGTTCGTTTGACAATCACATTGCAATCAGTTTGACTTTATATTGTTTCAGATTCTATAGTCATTCGACGCCTAACTGAATCTCAAGACCAACAATTTTGAGAAAACCAGGGAGGGTACAGATCTGAACAAGGGTGCACCGATGATATCACTTTTGAACATGTTTTGGAATACAAGCAAACCTACCACCCCGCAACACTGGTCGTATTTGTTGACCTGAAGAGGACATTTGGTTCAGTCAACCGTGAGGTCTTGTGATAATGTCTGAAAGTGAGGAGATTACTAAGTATTTGCGCCAATCAAAACTCTCTACTCAAACTCACCTAACCGTATGAGGCCTTAAAGTTTTCGTCTGAAGTAAGGACTATCAGTAGTGTTCTATAGGGATCTCTACGGTCACTATTCCTACTCGACTTCGTTATTATTATGCTAATCCGTGTACACCTAACTGCTTCTAACCTCAATGTTTGACTTATTCCCAGGACTAGGACCTGGATGCCTTAGAGTATGCAGATAACTTTTTCCTTCTAGGTAAAGGGATTAATAAAATCCAAATTTTTCCTGAACACCTCGATCAGAAATCAAAGTATGTGTGGCATACTTTTCACACCCTTCAAATGTAAGATGGTGCTTAAAGACCAGTTCGCATCTACTCCTAATTTAAGTATGGAAAGCAAAGTTGGGAATTATGCCTACGTATTTGTTAACTAAGGAGTTGCATCGACCCGAATTAGTTGTTTGATGGAGACTAAGGTTGAATAAAAAGAGCATGTTGGGCATTTGCTAGCTCATGTTATCATCGATGAGATGTCCGGTTATCTATAAAAGTACAACTATACTGCTCAGATACCCACTCTATCTCATTATACATCTGGAAGACATGAACCTTAAAATTAGAATGTATAAAGAGGTTATAGGTTATGACTGTGTGTCTTCTTAACATTTCTTGTTTTTGGTGGAATCACCTTGTGAACAATGTCAAGGTTAAACAGAGGCGTACTAGGTATCGAAAACAGGTCAATCGGTGAGGTTGTGAACCCTTGCCTACCTAAAAGTCCAATGTTGCCCGAAATTAGACCACGATACACGAAACCTAAGGTAGTCAGATCATAATGTGGGATCAATCCGTGAAGCTGTTGATTATTGGTCTAATTCGTAGAGTAGTGTAGGCTGCCTCTTTGACAATCTCGCAATGATCGGAATCGACGGTTGGAGATTTTCGATTATCTGACTGGGAATCTGTCACAATTTCATAAAGTATGCGCTTGTCATCGAGATTTCGAGCATTTTTATTCACCTCCATTTATTTGTTTATTTAGTTTGCTTGAAGTTATGCACTTTTATCTGCTTTGATGTCGTTTTGCTAATCTCTACTTCTTTTTCTGATGCGAGTTAAGTGTGGCAACTTTAAGTGATGTACTTCTGCGCCAGGTTCTAAGTTGATCTATCTGTTTCAACTGGAATAATTCAGCGTCGATTTGTATTGTATATAAAATTGTATTTATTATTTATTTATTTTTCTTTTGGATTCCTAATTGTAACATAGAGCTTCAGTAGCACACCTCCTCTGCAGTCTCTTGGACCTGCTACCACGACTGCCCACAAGCTCTCATTTCTTCCTCACGTGATCTCCTCCTTGTCACCCTCGTCTTGGACCCCCAACTCGTCGTTTTCCACATCGATTCCACTCGTGGGTCTGGCCTGGCGCGTCATGTCCCCAATCGGCCTTCTCAGTGTATGCCCAATCCGATTCATCTCCAATTTCTTACAGTGCATATTTGTTAAGTGATAGGTTCTTGCTTCGTTGGTTCGTTGCCAGAGTTCCTTGTTGCTTATTCTTATTATTCTGACCATCTAATCTGACCTTCAATATCGAGTGAGTGTAGGCGGCAGTTGTTGATGAATGTCTGTTGTTTGTTGGAAGTGCTTTCCGTGACGCGCCAAGTCTCTCAACCATCACATAGAAGCACTGACTTGATGTTGGTGTTGAAAATCCGGATCTTGTTCACGCTTTATGCTGAGTGAAGTGAAGTGCAGTGTAGTAGATCTCCACACTGATTTCACATTATTGAAGGCCTGTCTTGCTTTTCCGATCCTGACTTTGACATCCTCATCTGTGCCACCGCAACCGCCTGTAGTTGGAACGATGCTGCCTAGACAGGTAGGTGAAAGCAACAACTTCCTTCAAATTGTTGTTGTTGTTGTTGTTGTTGGTTGGGTATCTTCATCACCTCCGTCTTCTCCATGTTCATCTGAAGGGAGTTCCATCTTCCTTCGCTACATCGCCTGTTCTGCCAATTTGTTGGTTTTCGCCTGTAGATCTTCGAGTTTGTGCGACAAGACATTGGACACAAATCATCATTGTTGACGAAATCCAAATTTTCTAGGGTCTTTTCATCGGTCCATGCAGCGTATGTCCCTCTTCTCGCTCCTCACAGTTTCTTGCATGATCCAGTCCAGTGCAGTGCAGTGGAGTGGAGTGCAGTTTAGTCGATCACGATGAGGAAGGTGATGGGTGACAGTAGGCGACAACCTTGTCTTACTCCTTTCTTCACTTGAAAGGCATCACTGAGCTTTGCACTATGAATGACTTGGCATGTAGCATCCTCATATAGCAGTTTGATAAAGGTTTGTGGCACTGAGACTGTAGTGTTGAAGCAGCCGCCTGCCAAATTACTTCTCTGTCAACGCTATCGAAGGCTTTTTCAAAGTCGATGAAGTTGAGGTAAGATAGAGAGTTGACTGCTATTCTATCCTCTGTTCTATGATGAGATGATGCGTAGCGTAGTGTTTCAATTTGATCCGTACATGATTAGTTCTTCCTGAAACCAGCCAGTCAGGCAGCCAGCCTGTTCTGGTCATAATTTTGAATCGAGAGCATTCAGGATGATGCGGCATAAAATTTTGCTGTGGACAGCAGCATGATTCCTCGCCAGTTCTTGCAAAGGTTTATGTCTCCCTTCTTTGGGAGTTTGACAAGGTAGCCATTCTTCCGATCGATCTGCAGGTACCTTTCCTTCCTTCCTTGCAAACCTTCTGCAGTAGCGGTTTGAGCATGTCCGCTGTTGTCTCTGCGTCTGTTCTCATTGCTTCTGGCGGAATTTCATTTACCGGATTTCAGCAGTTATATGGCATTCAGGAGGGCCTGTGTTCACTGGTAGTTCTGCGGTTGCTGGTGTTGATGATCGAGTCAAGAGTTTTTTGAAGTGGTCAGCTCATTGTTTTGTTTGTTTTTCCTCTTTGGTGTTAACTAAGTTTCCTTCAGTATCTTTCATCGGTTTCATCTGCGTTGATCTCTTCCCTTTTCTGTCCAAACTGAACTGGGTTGCAGCTTTGAACTAATGAGTATTAAATGGGAAGTGTGTGTTTCGGTTTGGTACATATATTCTATGATTGTACTCAACCCATCCACCTAATAACTGGTATATATATCTCCTAACACGGTCGGCCGTTGTAATCATTTTAATGCACTCATATGTCTTAGTCCATGGTAATTTGGTCGGTAATAATTTTATTCTAAAAGTGAATTATTAATCTCTTTGCAAGGAGTGTTTTTGTTCATTGTAGAACACCTGAATCACAGTTCGTGTTGAATCTGAAGTATATTCCGTTGTTGATTGTTAAAGACCCGTGCAAAATCTCACTAACTCTGAAGAATGACACAAGATTAGTTTTTATGTTTGTGAAATAATGATAATCTTGTTTCTTGTTGTTATCAAAGAATGATGCTCCTAAAATTAAGTTTCAAGGAAACCATGTTGAGTTTGAACATGAGTGTGTTTATTCCTAAAAGCCGACGTAAATCCTTAATACAAAAACGGCCATCGACCAGAGTTTATGTACACTTCGATTGTGAACTGATTCCATTATGTTAGTAAATGTCTACCTTCTTATTTTTTTTAGTGGTTAATTCACAATCTTTCTACTTACACTAACTGGACGGTTTTTGACGCACCGAATGTCTCATCGCTTATATTTCCATCTTCACATTTTAACTTTGGGATGTCTCTTCCGTTACCATTAATGCAGATTAATATAAGAAAAATAAAATCTAGGTTTTCTTAACTTCCTCGTAGTAATAAGTGATATTTATATTAATATTATATGCAAACTTAACTGTTATTTTTGGCCAGCATAATAAACTACAACACCTAACTAATAGAGTTTAAGAATGTTGGTTCAAACCAATTTGTGCATTTATTGCTTTAAGTATGATTTAGACCCATATCACTTCACACTTGTGTCGACGACATAAAAAATGTTTTCATTTTCTTCAGTTATATGATTTAAAGGGTGTGACTTCAAAATTAAAGTTAAATATCCTATTTATTGGCTGGTGTGGTTTCTTATGGTAAATTGATTATTTTGAAAATCAATACATTTTTAATTAGGTAACTTCGACAATATGTTTCCTGACTAGATTTCTCGGTTGTAAGATGTAGGTGATTGCAGGCACTGAAAAGTCAGCCACATCTATTATTTGGTGATATATTGGGCTTCTTTGAGTGTGTAAGTCTATATGAATGGAGAACGGTTTGAAACCGTAATCTGGTGTTGAGAAGTAAGTTTCACCATCATGGTTAATAAAACAATTGTACGAACCATTTGAAACTTGCTTAGAGATACTGTTTATCTATTTAAATCCTAATCGTTAAAGTAGGTCCAAAACAACTAGTTTATGGAACTCTAAGTTGTCCTCGCAATGCATAGATGAGTTTTACTTGGTTTATCTTAAGAAGCCGTCAAGCTGAAATAAACTTTTTATTCATTTCGTCCAATTGTATGCATTCCCTAGACCTTGAATTTTGGTTGGTACTGTTCAATAAAAATATGTCATATCATTAGACAAACATCTTGTATTGCCTTTGATTTATATTATTGGTTTTTTCTTATTCGCTTTCAGTACGAATGGAAGTGGTTTCGGTAGTAAGGCTGTAAAAGTAAGTTTATCGAATAGAAACTATTATGCATTGTTTAGAGAACTTCATCGTTTTAGGTAATATTTAAGGGTTTTGTCTTAATTTTACTGGTAGCACCTTTAAACAATACTTATTAAACATCTTCAGATTATATACTCTTAAGGTGTTAAATAGTGATTATTTATATTTTTGAGACATTCAGTGAAAGGGTAACTTCAAGTCATTAGCATCAATGTAGTGGAAATTATATGGCATTCTGTGGTTATTCGTCTCAGTGGTTCACTTGAGGTAGTACTTCGATCCGCCTTTTGCACTTGCAGGTGTCACATATTTCCTGAAGAAATCTAAGTTCTTACTGTTAGGGACATTTTAGTAATTAAATATTTGTACTGGGTGATGATTGAAGGTGAGACGAAAATCATCACGCAGTACAAATACTAGTCTGCCAAACTACAACTATCTTAGATAGTCGAATCATGATTAGGTATTTGTGTACTGGATTGGATGGTACTCTTTTGATGCAACGAAATATGCCAATTTTGGTACGATGAACTTATTTCAGACACTGCGATCCTACTGCATACAGTGATTAGAAATATCACTTTTAGGTAGTTCGCTCGTACTGCTTTTTGCTCACCTTTAACTGATCTCTCAAAAATGAACCGCTGTAGTGTAATTCTAATTTAGCCATTGATTGAATCAATTTTTAACTGAACGTTTTAATTGTATGGTAAGCAGTTGGTGTTTCAAGTTTTATTAGATACTATACTCATTTTAAATACATTTCCGCTGTCATTTCATTTTGTTATCTCAAAGGCTAGAAGGCGCATATTACAAGCCGAGGAAATGCTAGGTATTTCATCAAGTTCATTCTTAACAACTTCGCAGTCAGTTTGTGATTCAATGCCACCCCAAGTTCCACTGTTCATCGACGTTCTCGCAATGTCCTAAGTTCATGTTCGAGTTTTGCTCCAGGCATTCTGTCTACTCTTCGCCCCGTATGTCCTCTCAGTGCTGGTCAGTCTCCTACAACAAAACGACGCATGGCAGCAATAACTGGAAGCCTAAATTGTGGCGCTTCAAGCGTTCATCCGTGTTCAGCACGTGGTATCAGCAGTAATGGGATTGCTGTTCCCAACACAATGTCAACTTCGCTCATTTTACCAAGTTCTAATAACATAGACAGGTAACTTAGCTATTTGATATTACTGTTCTTTTTGCTGACCTAAGGTTTTGCACTTTTGGTCAGTTTCTGTGTTTTCTCTTTCTCTACTAACTGTTTACATTCAAGTATGCTTCCTACTGTTATAGAAGTAATTTTAACTTGTTATTGTAATATTTGTCTTCACGCGGTAAAACCGACCTTGCCATTTTTTTAGATTCTCTGCCTAAACTACGTATTCTGTCATCTATTCCCAAACATGTTCCCGCTCTTACAAAGCAACAATCCAAGCGAAGTAATATTTGTCAATTAGCTTGTCACCGCTAGCTCATTTTCAAAATGTAAAGTTACCTATTACTCCAAACGTCGCATATTCATTCATTATCTATTTTGATTGTAAATCTTACTTATGGAGACAGTTTTCCACCTACATATGTGAAAGCAACCTTTTTGTAGTGGTTGTTTGTCACTTACCTAGATATCACTATATATATATATATATATATATATATATATATATATATATATATATATATATATATATATATACGTAGATTTGAGTATCTACAAGCAGCGAAATGTGCATTAGTGATTCTTAGATGAATTTATTTGAGTAATTTTTCCTTCTTTATTTTGAGCGAGGTCTATATTTGATTGTTTGTTCGAGTATTTTCTTGCATCCTCAATGTAAGATTCGGTTGGTCAGCAGTCTCATACTGATTTAGTTTCCAAGCTGTAATCCATATATGGTGTCTGGTAATTCTTCTTAGCTGTTCAGATCAAAGTAATTGGAGTTGGGTTCAAAACTGTGATCAGTGTGGTGTGTGTTGAGAATGTAAATCATTGACTCACATTTCCACATACATTTCATTATTGCAAATAGTACATTCAGAATGTCTGTCATCATCGCTCTTGATTATATCCTTTATTGTTTCCCAGTCGATCATGTGAATATAAATAGGACAAACTTGATGCCATAAGTATAGCACTTTTGAAATTAAAGAGATTTTCTTGTTTGCATTAGGTGAGCATTTGCATTTCATGTATTTTGTGTTATCGTATAAAAAGTAGTTTTATTATTTATTTGAAATTGGTGTAAATTTCTACTCCTTGCTTCAAACATTTAGTCTCACATCTTTTACGGCTTGTCAAAATGTCCTAATATTACTTTAATTTTCGTTTATCCTAGTAGTACTTCAACGCAAACTGCACCAAACAGTCCTTCAAGTAAAATGGTACCAACTACTTCTTCATCTTTCTTGTCGTCTACTGCGCCAAATGATGTGTTTAAACGACTAACCAGTGGAATGTCAAACTCACCAAATCCTAGCAGGTAAATGTTTTTTGAAGTGCATTTTGCGTCACCTTGTTTTGAGTCATTCCACAGTTCTGTTTTGCTCGATTTTCACAGGAATTCTCATCGACATCATGAAGTGTCTTGTTACTTTTATAGACTGAGATAGCCCTGGTTTTGCAGGCTTGTATTATTGATACTGGATCATGATTATAGGTGAAATAAAAATCTGGGTCGCAACAGGAATCAAACCAGCGGCCTCCGGGTTATCGACTTGGTGCTGTACCAGCTGAGTTACTAGACCCAGCTGCTGACCAGATCTTAATTTCACTTTACCAAGCACTAAAAATAATCTATGTAATAGTGTAGTTTAGTGAATTATGAAAACCACGTATACCAACTGATTGCTTATTTGAGTTTACAGTTCATCAGAGATTGCTCACTACTCACCACTACACTCAGAGTGTAGTGGTTGAGTGTGTCGACCACTTCAAATACCTGGGAAGTAGGATCAGCCCTGGTGGCTCAGTGGCCGACGAAATTTCTGCACGAATACAAATGGCTCGGCTGACTTTTGCCAACTTACGCCACCTATGGGGCCGCCGTGATATCCGATGGTCTATTAAGGGTCACTTGTACTGCGCAGTAGTCCGGTCTGTTCTACTATATGGCTGTGAAACATGGCCATTGAAGGTGGAAGACATGATAAGGCTGGCTTCAGGTGTTTGACCACGTTTGCCTTCGTAGTATAGGCCGTATTCTGTGGTGTCACCACGTGAGTGATTCAGAAGTCGGGTGTAGAGTTTTATGGAGAAGTGGTAAGCCAGTTGGTGTTGTTGTGAACCTTCATCGACTGAGATGGATTGGACATATGTCTTGTATGCTATGCCTAGTCACCGATTGCCTCTTCACACAATGTTGACCGAAGTAGGTTCAGGCTGGAAAAAGGCCCGAGGTGACCAGACTAAAACATGGCACCAACGTATGAAGTGTTTGACTGTTGGCTTGAGCCATGTGGGGTGATGCAGACTAACCGGCTGGGATCGGTGGGACAAGAGGAACCAGTGGTTGGAGACTTACTCTAGGTGATATGGCTGAGAACTGATGTCAGTGGCGCAGATGTATACACACATACATTATCCTCATCTTAATGACGCTATACCGAATCTCACCATTTTCTCATTCTTCCGTTCTCTCTTTTCGTACTTTATATTTCTTTTGACTGAATTTTTTTAAATCTCCATCTTGCTCCTCACTGCCTTTTTACTTGATGTAGTGATATGAGGTGTGGCAAGTTGGACCGTTACGCAGTATTGCCTAATCTTATGATGATCATGCTCACAGCTGAATCGGTCCGGTTCACTGCTGGTTAGCTGGACCCAAAATAACCCGACTGTCTGGTGTTTAAATCTGAATAACAATACCTGTAGATAATCTTTAGTGGTTTCTAACTACTCACGTTGTTCAGTAGTCTATTTCATTGGCTCATGATACTTTTGCATCAGATATCACACCTTTTGATTATCAGCTGAGTAGTTGCCGACGGATAGCCTATTAACACCGTATTTGAAAAACTACCCAGCAGTTATCAGTGTTAACGTGGATTATACAATTTGTAAACAATTTGCAAATTCATCATCATTACTGTAATAATTGTGACTCTGATAGGAAGGGTATTCACCCCCGTTTATATGCGATCACTGTCGAGCCTCAATCTGTCTCGGTCTGCATAATCATGGAGGGCTTGGAAACACATTGGATATATTATCTGGTTAGCACATTAAAGTCCTGGATTGTTGGCCGTTTTGCGGTTTGCTTTTGATATCCCATTTTCCTAAACTTTTATTGAATTAACACAATTTTTTGAATTTAAATTTTCTATGTTCATCTTATAAGTTTTCACATTATCATCAGAAGATGTCTGTGCTAGACTACAACATTCAGAAATAAAAGGTAAATCAATCACGTCTATCATGCACAGGTATTGAATCAACTTCTCATACGCTGTTTTTACTAACCGCTGAATAACAATATATGATTATTTTTTCTAACTCTTAACGCTATCAGACTTTTAACACAGTTTATTCATGTTTATAAAAGCGAGTATATGGTTGTCTTGTGGTAAAGCAATAATATCTTTAAAAGTACATTGACTTTTAACATGTGGTTATATGCTGAATTTATCACGCTGGATATTTACATGATAAAAACAGATTTATTTGATATCGAATAAAAGAAAACCAATAGTGTTTAGTGTAAAGGAAATAAACAAAAAAACTCCATCTGAGACTCGTATTAGTGTTTCTCCTTCTTCGGATGCACTTTTCTAGCCACTCTACTGGGAAGAATACTGATTTTACGTTCATTTACTTGAAAATATTCCTAGGTGATTCTTCGTGAATAATGCCGCTAGGAATCGCTTGAGTGTTTTATCTACCGATTTCTATTGTGGCTATGCAGCATGCCTTAATTTTATCGCATGTGCTCTCTTAGTGAAGTGTCAGTTATAGCTATCTGTCTTTGGTATAATTCTCATGCTTCACCCATCATTGGAATGGCACTATTCCATTAGTTTAGATGTGTTAGAAATTCTTTTGGTGGATACTTTTGCAGTTAGCCATCTGACTTTTAAATATGTAACACTCCCTGGGGCAGATAAAGAGCCGGTAGATAACCTTTTATACTTGCACAGCTGAATGTAAAAACTAAGCTGTGTTATAACGTCAGGCATTGTCATTTCCATGTTCCTGTTTCATTCGTTTTGACTTTAGTGTGAAATTTTTTTAATTTTCACGCGATTTGGTTTTGTAAAGATTACTTGGTGAAAATACTGTTTACGCTATTTCGAAATGAAAAACTGCACTAAATCAGTATCTAATTATTTTCAGTCAGTTTAACTTTTCATATACTTGAGCAAATGAATTCTGGCTTAAATAAAATAACTGAATACATAATTTCATTCACATAGGAGCATGCACTAACTTTTAAGTGGTTTGGTATTCTCTGGGTCAGATGATTCGGTAACTGGTATTCCATTATCAAACTGAGAATTACTTTTTTTATGGGTATCATATTACTTCGGTTGCACAAAATATTATATATCTATTACCATAAGTTATGCATTTCCAGTAAAAGTTTAAAATTAACGTCACACTTATTTAGATACTTTCTATGAAATTTTTTAAAGGGGTTCAATACAACCTACGACCAGAATGAACCTTCCAAATTTGGCATCATCCAGTGGTACAAGTGCGAATTTAATCCTGAGTAGCGCTACAACAAACCGGCCTTTTCATCTCTCTTCGTCATCAGGTCCATGTCTGACCACTTTGACTGTTCCTGTTAATAATTTGCCTTCACAACCTTCAAATCAACCATTGTCTGCACTTTTCTCGTCAGTTACCGCTTCACAATCGATCCATACACACAGTAGCACATCTCATACTTCTATTGTGAATACCACGTCGTTACCTGTTGTTTTTCAGTCTTCTAATTTCGTTGCACCTATTGAGTGTACTCATGTGGCTCGGGGACATTCAAATGCTGTCCTTGATGTTGATATATTCGGTGGTATCATGATAACGGGCAGTAAAGGTACCGTATTCTTGAGATACTATTTTCTTAAAGTCACTCAATACTGTCTCATTAGATATACATTTCCGTTGTTTGTTTTTTTAACTGTACCTAAGGGCAATCAATAATCGATCGTACGTTAAAAAATTTTCTTTAAATATACGGCTTAGAACTGAAACTTACCTCAAATTTCGTTGCGAGATACTACGGTAATACATTTAACACTTAACACTGAGATCCTTGTTTGTATCGATCATATTGTTCAGCTTAATCAGCAGGTGCTAGTAAACAAGAAACTGCCGATTTACTGTTTTGTGCTTTGTAAATCATATTTTTGTCTACTTTATAGCAGTTTATATATGTATACTAGTCTAAATCAGTGTAAATGTTTATTTCTCGACAAATGATAAAATAGAAAACAAGCATAGGAATGTTGTACTTAGAATTTGTTTGAAATTACTTGGGAGTTCAGGAGAAGCGATTATAATCTCACCACTTAGTAGTGACGTGATAATCTGCATTTTTCTTGATGACTCATTCCAGTGATGAATCACTTAGTGTCTTCCATTTTGTGTAACTGTTGCTCATGACATTCAGTAGAAGTACTTTGATTATTATCCCTACCATACATATAGAACAAAATCTACTTCCGATAAGTTTGGATAACTTGGTAGTGAGGTATTGTAGTAATTTATTATTTACTATATTATTTATTACTCCCTTGGGTTCCTAATGGAACATAGGGCTTCAGTAGCACGTGTCCAGTGAACTCTGTTCTCTGCAGTCTTTTGAACTTGGCTCCACGACAGCCCACAAGCTCTCACTTCTTCCTCGCACGATCTCCTCCATGTCACCCTCGCCCCGGAAGCCCAACTCGTCGCTTCCCATGGGGATTCCACTCGAGCAACTGGCCTGACGTGTGATGTCTCCAGTCGGCCTTCTCAGTGTATGCCCAATCCATCTCCACTTCCTTCCAGTGCATATTTGTTGAGCGACAGGTTCTTGGTTGGTTCGTTCCCACAGCTCCTTGTTGCTTATTCTCATTATTCTGGCCATCTGAGCTTCAGTAATGAGTGAGTGGAGGCAGTTGTTGAAGAATGTCTGTAGTTTGTTAGAAATGCCTTTCGTAACGCGCCAAGTCTCTGAACCATATAGGAGCACTGACTTGACTGTCGTTGGTGTTGAAAATCCGGATCTTGTTCACTTTCTGCTGAGTGCAGAAGATCTCCACACTGGTTTCAGACTAATGAACACCTGTCTTGTTGTCTTTCCGATCCTGGCTGGCTTTCACGTCCTCGTCTGTGCCTGTGTCGCCTGTAGTTGAAACAGTGCTGCCTAGATAGGTGAGAGAGGCTACTTCCTTTAAGTTTCTCCCAGTTATCCTGATTGGAGCTTGTTGTTGTTGTTGTTGTTGGAGTTGTTGGTGCGGAATCTTCATCACTTCTGTCTTCTCTATATTCACTTGAAATCCCGTCTTCGCTGCCCGGCCTCTTCTTCCAACTTGTTAGTTTTCGCCTGTAGATCTTCAAGTTTGTGTGACATTAGACATAAGTCATCACTGGAGAAATCCAAATCTTCTAGGTTCTTTTCCGCAGTCCAGCCAGCATATCCCCCTCTTCTCGCTCCCCACTGTTTGTTGCATGATCCAGTCTAGTCGACCACAATCAGGAATATGATGGGGGATAGTAGGCAACCTTGTTTCACTCCTGTCTTCACTTCGCTCCAAAAGCATCACTGAGCTTCCCATTGTGTTGTGAATTACTTGGCATATGGCGTCTTCACATAGTTGGTGAATGAGGTTGATAAAGACCAGTGACACTCCATAGTGTTGAAGCAGCAGACTGCCAAATTACTTCTCGGTCGACGCTGTCGAAGACCTTCTCAAAGTCGATGAAGTTGAGGTAGGTAGAGGATTGACTGTCATTCGATACTCTGTTCTATGATGATGCGAAGCGTTGCAATTTGATTCGCACATGATTTGTACTTCCTGAAGGCAGTCAGCCAGCCTGTTACGGTCGTAGTTTTGAATCCAGCGCATCCTGTAGTATCTCCAGGACAATGCGGCTTAATATTTTGCTTGCTTTGGGTGGACAGCAGCGTGATTCCGCGCCAGTTCTTGCAAACACTGAGGTCTCCCTTCTTCGCAGTCTGACAAGTTAGTCCTTCTTCCAATCAATCTCCAGGCACCTTTACTTCCTTCCACACCTTCTGCAGTAGTGGTGTGAGCATGTCCACTGTTGTCTGTTGTCTCTGCGTCTGTTTTCAGTGCTTCTGGTGGGATTTCATCTGGTCCTACTGCTTCCCCCCACTTCACAAGCTTTATGGTGTTCAGGACTTCGACTTTCGTCGTCGTCGGATTTGTGTTCACTTGTAGTTCTGTGGATGGGCTGCAGGTGGTATTTCTGGACGAAGTGCAGGTGGTGGTCGATTCAAGAGCTTCTTGAAGTGGTCAGCCCATCGTTTCCTTTGTTTCTCCTCTTTGATAATTAGATTTCCGTCATCATCTTTTATTGGTTTCATCTGCAGTGTTGATCTCTTCACTACCAGATAGTAACCTGGTTATTTGATACAATGTTGTCAGGTCTGTGTCTCTCCTACCTGCAGCCTGTTCTGCTTCACTTGCCAGTGTGTCGTGGAAGTGTCTTTTGTCTTCTCGCGCACTCTTCTTCACTTCTTTGTCCAGTGTAGTGTTTTATACGTTGTACTCAGTTCCTCTCCTCGTTGTGCATCCTTGTACTGGTTTATCTTCTGCTTCACCATCCTCCTCTCCCTGCTCTATCAGCTTCCATGTATGCGTCGAGATCCATTCCTTATCTTCTTTCTTCTTCCTTCCCAATACGGTTATGCAGGTTTCTTTCCACATCTCTTCCAGTGTTCTTCCACACAGGTTTCTTCAGGGATGTTCCTCCATATCTCCCATTTTGTCTTGATGGCTGCCGTGAAGATTTCCTTTGTAGTTTCATCCTTCAGTTTACTAGTGTTGTACTTGAACTGTGGTCTATCACCAACTTCCTTGAAGGCTTTTAACTTGATTTGGAAGGTTCCTTGCACTAGATAGTGAGAGGTGTGAACCTGTATCTGCTCCTCTTCTTGACCTTTATGTTCAGTAGACTGCGTCTCCATTTTCTTGAGATTGAGATAAAGTCGATTTGATTTTTAGTGTGTCCATCTGGTGAAATCCATGTCGCTTTGTAAATATCCTTGCGTTTGTACACACTACCTCCAATCATCAAATCGTTAAGTGTGCAGAAGTCTGCAAACAGTTCTCCATTCTCGTTCATTTCACCGAGTGCTTCTCGACCAATGGTTGGTTCTCTTCCTGTGTTGTTTGCTCCCAGTTTGGCATTCATGTCACCCCACCCATTAGAATTTTGATGTCACCATCTGGGGTATGGTCTTGTCCAGTACTGATCTCAGTTGTCTATAGAATTCCTCCTTCTTCTCTTGGTCTGGATTATTTGTAGGCGCGTAGCATTGGCATTGTGCGATTGTGACTTTCCTTCCTTTTGAGTTGAATCTCGCTTTCATGACCCTGGAAGAGATTGGCTCCCACTACACGAGAGCCTTCGATGTTGTTGAAGACATCATGATAGCCACTCCGAAACTCAGTGTGCTCGTGATTGTCATCTGGGTGACAATATGGGAGTAGATTATTGACTCTCGAGTTGACAGTTTGGAGAGTTGACTTCCATTCCATTTGCTCTTGCAGATTCCTAGCCTAGCACTTCAATGCTATGCCTTCTCATTTCTTTTGCGATCTTGGCAGCCTTGTTAGGTTCATATATGGTGCGGACATTCTATGTCCCTATGTTTACTTTGGCTTTCATCGAGAGAGGGAGAGAGAGAAAGAGAAGACACATTGGTCAGTCGGCTTGCCGAAGGCTTTCACCAGCTGGCGTCATTTCGCCTCTCCGATTCCAGCGAGGAATAATTTTGTATCCATTTTTTATATTTTGTTTGTGCTTTGAAGTTTCTTTAGCGGTTAGATTTGTTTTAGGGGGTAGGGTTGCTAGCTCTACGCCCAACCTTTCCTCTTTGGCCGGGGTTAGGACCGGCTAGTAATTAGTGAAGGAAGGAATTCAGTTGTTGTGATAAGTATGTTAACCTCAAAACCAATGTACGATTTGAATGAATTCTCGAGGTAAAACGAAACAAGTGCCTAAGACTGGCTGATACTTACTGATTGTTTAATTGGCTATTAATTGCCAACGAAAATTAACTTCACAAGAGTGGCTAAAAATGAATCTTAGTGCAAATAATCAATATGAATCACTTCCTGAAGTTGTGTGACTCGATAAGTTGGAAGTGCGGTCTAGTGGTGTAGGTACTTAGCTTTCAACCATTAGATCTCAGTTACCAACTAATTTTCTGTCTACTCCGGTCTAGATACAACAGCGTAGTATCACTGACTTTCGCATAGTGCACTTACCAACTGGTTGATTGATTTCATCCTGAAATCACTGAAAACATTGGACAGTTATTTTCTTCTCGTTTTGTGCTCATCAACAGTGCGAAACCTACAACCTAATTAAGGGACTAGGTGTCATTCACCGCCACCAAACACACGCTTTAAATTTCTCGGACATTACATAAACTAGAAATCAGTAAGTGCTACGGTGTGCTATGTATCCAATAGATGCACATATACTGTATGGAATTCACTTTTTCTCTGCTTTAAGACTGGGGATTAAAACTTGGAATATTATTAAGCAAAAATGTAAAAAAGACAAGTTGACTTTAAAAAATGGTTTACAAGTGAATGAAGCTTTTCTTCCTCCAGTGATAAGCGCTTTGTTTCTTTGATCAAATCTTGATCTGATCCAGGAAAATTGTCACAGGTCTTTTGATTCTGTACGAGGGATTCTGTTCGTTGTGTTAAGGAAGTCAGCTGACAACGCAGTTGACGAAGTTGAGAACAGTCAGCCAATTCTCGCTGACGTATCTGTAAAAGTTATAACAAACTAAAGCGAGGGAAGACTGAAACAGACTTATTCAGTGAAAGAAGTAAGTTTTACATAAAAGTCAACGGCAGTTGTCAAATGATGTTCTGAATGACATTAGACTAATAACCGATCATTAAAAACTCCGTATTCTTAAGATGAGATGACCAAACATAAACGGTAAATAACAGAAGACATGAAAGTCCATTGAATATATACTATGAACTTAGTAGTTATTCATTTGGAAGCAAATATAACTCAATAACATTCACAGTTGAAACCTTACGTATTCTGTACTCCTTTTTGTTATGAATTTAATTTTGTCATGTTGTTTTCCATCTTCCCATAGATCGTACCGCAAAAATTTGGGATTTAAATACAATGGAAGAAATAGACACACTTCACGACCATCCGAATAATGTAACAAAAGTTAGAATATGTCCTTCATCAAATCTTATTTTCACTGTATGTTCGTATTTCATTAAAGTTTGGGATCGTAGGGATTCAAACAAATGCATTCGTACTTTATTGTAAGTCAAATACTGTTTCTAGCTTTTCTTAACTTTGCACCAGGTTGTAAAACCGGTACACTGCTTTAGAGAGGATTTTAAAATATAATACTACATACTTCACTTTATAAGATCAGTCTATTGAATTATTAGGGACTAAAAGGTTATTTTTGTGTTTTGTGACAAAAGCACGGTTTTGTCATAGGAACTAGATGCATTGTCACATAGTGTTTTAGAAGATTCATACTATTTATGAGTTCATTTTTATTTGGATACTTAACCGTTCTTGTATTTATTGTAAAGTCGGTCAAACATGCCTGCAGAATATTATATCACGCAACTGTAACCGGTTATGGCTAATTTCGAACACGTTCCTCATAATATCTATCTATTATCTAATTATTTATATTTTTTGTATGTATGTATGGCCCTGTTGATCTCCAGTTTCTAATATTACTTTCTGGTCGTTGGAAGATTGTATTCATATCATGAAAAGTAGTCATGGATAGGTCAGTTTAGATCTTATTGCGTAACTGACTGAATTCCTTTTGTTATCAAATGTGTTTGATGCGAATTCCACTGTCATAAAATGGTATATGTCGCCTAAGCCTCCTGATATTTATCACCTGAACTCTCTGGGTCCTCAAGTTAGCCTGATACGTTTATGTAATTTGTTTATTTGACTGATTTCTGTGTTTTTCAAATACTGTAACCTTATTTCTGTGAATGAAAAGAGGTCACTTGATCTTACTTGCATTTTTGGGTATTACAGAACTAAGTTATTCTCTGGTGACGTCATCATTTAGCGTAGCGATGAAATGTAGGAAACTACTTACAAACTGAACTCTGTGAATAGATTATGCTATCTCTATATTTTTTCTCAGTGTCATCATTACATCGGTGTTTTACGTGGGTTGCAAAATTGTAATTAAACTGTGTACATAATGCGGTAGATAGTAATAGTCTCAGTATACATATCGGTTTATGCATTATGATTTGACTCGTTCATTTTATGCAATACTGAAGGCCACTAATTCGGTATCTCCAGCAAAACTGAAAAGATAGTTCAAACTTGTAACAAAGTTATACAGTCAGGCATGAAAACCGTTGGGGCCTTACTCAAAGTAGCAACAAATACTATGTGTTTCATTCCTCTTTCTTGTGCAGTTCCGTTTTTCCAGTTATTTGTTTTGATGCAAAGTAGCTAAGGTAGATTGTTTCGCATAAATAATATTCTCTTTTGTTGAACTTTCTATTTTAGGTCAAGTGGCCTCAGTCAAGAAGGTTCTTTAGAGACTAAAGTTATGCGTCGTCAGAATATTTGTCCACCTGGTGAAACCAATATTATGGATATCGCACTTGGTGGAGGAAATCCATCATTGAGTCATTTGATGTTTTCTGCCACCGCAAATTCAGTGAAGTTGTGGGATTTAAGACGTTTCTATTGTGTAGGCAAGTTACACGGTAGTCATCAGGCACCTGTAATGGTATTAGCTGCTGCTGAAAATGCATTTGGTTCGCCTGCTGGTGATTCAGAACCCAGGTTAACTGTGGTTACTGGTTCAAAGGTAGGTTATTTACGTAATCTTTTAAGATTGTGCTTCAAAAATAATAGTATCGATGATCTTGGAGCAACATTTAGTAGCTATGACATCTCAAACTGTATGCCTTTTATGACTACATAACTTGAGTAATATTGATAAGTTGCCTTTTGATTGTTAAGCGGTTTAAAGGTATGTGGCGGGAAACCATGAACTAAGTTCTGTACTTGTATGCACTATTCAGCCAGGTGTATCTGTTGCCTCAAGAGAACAGATTTTCTAGCCTGCTGATCACATTGGAAAATGATCAATAGAATCGGGTTGACACTACAAACTTAACAGCGTGAAATCGGCTACTCTCCAGTAACCCTTTAATTCATTTATTGAATGAAAGCTGTACATTGGTAAACGTTTAAAACAACTCATTTGTAAACTTTCTTTGTATGCATTTATATATTGGTGTTTATCGGTAGCGTAACAGCTAATATACTTCAGCTTTTCACTATGAACCAGAAGGTACATTCTTTTGATAATTATCGCGTTAGGCTTTAAAGTTTACTTTGTTCGGCGTGGACAGTCGGATAATAGCACATGTTTGAACTGTAATCTGCGTGATAGCAAAATGAGGGAACGAATCTATATCTTGCATTCAAACTGTGAAGAAATACTCTTCAACTTCTTCGACATATAAATCAAAATTATGGGACTGGAATAAAGATCTCATCTGTGATACAAACTTCACTACATCTAGCCAACTCATAAATGATAAAGGCCATTGGGTACAGCTATGCTCCATTGATAAGTCTGAACAGTCGTAAGTTACCGCAAGACTAACAACACTAGTTTATATGTGCCGTAATCCACCAACGATACAGTGGTTACTTTCTATTGAAGGTCATCTTATACTGTTTTGTATGCAAAATCCTAAATTTATTTTCTGATTGGATGAATGGCATGATGAATATTAACTGAATAATTCACTTATGGCACTTGTTGCATTGCATTTGAACAGTTCGTGTCTCAAAAATAATTAAAATAAAATATCCGAATGTAAAATTACTTGTTAACTGACAGAATTATATGTCTTAGGAGGTAGAGAGTTGTTGACGTGAAGTTATCAGTTATATAGTCCTTCTGCACCTAGAGGTTACCTAGCAGCTACATGATCTTCTAAATGCTTTGAGGTGTAATTTGAGAACGCTTCCCTTGCACTGGATGTATTTCAAACGGAAAATAATTGTCCCTGACCTATCTGTATCTTGTATAAGGATTGAAATAGCTTACATTTGTCAACCATTTAACTTGACAAGACATTGCATCGACCTTAACTGGACGCATAAGGAAGGAGTATTTGACACTTTCTAATTCGGGCTTTCTGTGGTGGTAGCGAGTTATCTGACTACCTATCAAAGAGACTGTGTACTCCAAAACATTCTTTTTGCCCCACTTTACAGTTGTGTTTGATGACGGTTGAAGGTATACAGCTGAAGCATAGGAAAGTATACTCATATCACTTATGGTGAAACACGGTGAGCAATTTTAAGGTCAGTCACATAAATGAAGCTGTGAACCTTAATTGAATGTGTTTCAGAAATACGTTTCTCATGTCATACCCAGCACCTTAACGACATGCTGGAGTAAATTCGATCGAAACAAAGTAAAAGGTAGCCACAAAACAGCACAAACTCATGGTGTTTTACTTATTTCTGCAGGGTTGTGTAAACCATTGATATGTGATTCTCAGTATTTTAGAAGTAAATGGCTGGCAAATCTCAGCAGCATGACTTCAAGTCAATCATAACGGCACAATTCCACTGGTTGCCATTAAAATTCTGATCTTCCCCATTTTTTTAACATCTGCCTACATTATCAGGAAGTTTAATCTTTTAAACTACTGCATGCTTTTGTAAGGTCCAAAGCTACTCTGTTTACCTAACATATCTTACCACAAATAAGTTTTCAATAAAATGAAGATCACTACATAGGCAGTGAATACTGCTTACTGCATAGGAGTAGCTCAAAATTGTGAAACCATCACGTTTTACTTCAAAATGTAGTTCAAGTTTTATTGATGACTACTGTACTTACGATGATTACTTGCTTTTTCATATCTCCTAATGATGATTTCTCCCATCATAATGGGGATTAGTTGTCATTGCTATCAGGGTTTTCACTTCACATTCGCTGAAGGCAATAAAATGTATTTAACATATGTGGTTTTATACTTTGCTTTAGGATCATTATATAAAGGTCTTTGATGTCTCTCCAAATGCATCTGGTTTGCTTACACCTATTTATGATTTGGAACCGCCGCATTACGATGGAATAGAGTCTCTGGTAATTCATGGGAATATTTTGTTTTCTGGTTCGCGAGATGCAGCAATTAAGAAGTGGAATTTAGCAAAGCATGGTCGCCAGGAGGTTTTACTTGCTCAGGCTCATAAAGATTGGATTCAGGTAAGCGTGAATACTTTTTTTAAAACTTGAATAACTTGTGTTTTGTCTGGTTAGATTCGCTGTACGAAATAGTGTGGGCGATTCCACCCGTTATCTTTTATCACCTTCAATACTCACTGTTCCTGCGGTCATTTATATTATGTCAGCTGCTAGGTATTGAGTTTACTATTCAAAATCTTATATTGAATTCCCTGATTGTTTCTTACATTAACTTGGATACTTTTGGTTTTATAGGGTATGGCTATAACGAAAGATGGATCACACCTTATTAGTGGTTGTCGTGGTGGCACTCTCAAACTGTGGAATGTTGAAGATTGTACATGTTTGGGAGAGATCAGCAATGCACATGAAGGAGCTATTAGTTGCGTCAGAACATACGAAGACCGTGTGTTCACCGCTGGCAAGTAAGTATGCATTGATAACATATTTCTATCATTTTTCTGCTTCATGTGTATATCGGTTTGGTGATCTATGTCTTTGGTTTATTCTTTTTTAGTGACAGAGACGTTCGATTTTGGAGATTTTTGAGTTAATCTACAAGGAGCGGATTATTTTAAACATGTCAATCTATCATTGATTTTCGTAAACTTCTTGCCTTTTTCTTGATTTCTCAAATGTAAATGGATGGATTTCTGTGATATTGAGTTTGGCACATTTCTCCTCTTGGTTTATTGTCAATTATATATATATATATATATATATATATATATATATATATATATATATATATATATATATATATTGTCGACTACATAGGTCTTTACGTACTATACAGTATATAAATACAATATGTTGCCAACTTTTTATTTTTTGCCATCTTTCATTTTTAATGCACATAATTGGTTTCTGCATCCTATTTTAAAATTGCATTTCATTCTAAAATAAATATTCAGTAAAACTGAGAAGCATTTAAAGCTGGCGATTGAGTTATTCTTTGGTTTTTATTTATACTACTATCTGTCCGTATTATCGTTAAATTACATCTTTATATGCGCGTGTCAAGTCAACCTTTTTTTGTCTCTTAATCTATTGGGTTGTCTACTAAGACTTTGTCGAAGTCCACACTCATTATTGACAATATCTATCATATTAATTGTTTGCTGTCTGTTGTAGAATGCTGATTTTATTTTCTGACTTCGTGTAAACGACAACTTTCCCTAAATTATCTGTTGTACACTGTAGCTGTTATTGTCATTCTGATTACCTTCCAAACAGTTTTGCATTGACTCTTACATCTTACTATCGCCTCACGTTTACTTTTATCAGCTTTAATGTCATTTTGGTCACTACTATATAGGAAAAATACTGGATGTTTAAATCGTTACATACTAATAATATAACATTATCTGTATGTACACACTTGCTATGTATATTTATTTAAGCTGAGCATTTATTTTTCATTTGTCTACTGCGTTTGCACTTACGTTTATATATATATATATATATATATATATATATATATCAGTGATTTTATTCCAATCCCATTTTGGATTCACATCTCTTATGTATCTTGCCGTATTCATTTATAATAACATCTCGGTCATTTTTCGGTGAAATTATGCTTTTTTTCTAGTCAGCTTGTGTAGTTGGATATATTGGAACTATCAATTGTCTTCTGATTGAAAGCGTGTTCCTCCTACAACGATCTAAAAGTGATCGGTTGTGTTTGGAAATAATTGGTTGTCTTGTTCAACTACTTACTAATACTAAGTAGCATAAGTCAGTAACGGAAAAGTCTTCACATAAATAGTCACTGGTTAGGATATTTCCTCTCTGACTGTGAGCAATAATTTATGCTCGAAACGTCATCAAGTAAATAATACTAGATCACTGTGTGTTCTCAATCAAATAAACAAAGTGCCCAGGTTTTACACCTATTTCAAATTTAACTTTGGTGGCTAGGATCTAGTATCCATCATTAGATGTGTTTGGTTCTTTTCATTCGACAGATGAGATTACAAGGGTTCTATCACAAATGTCGTCAATGGGTGAGCTGTCTCATATATACATACTTGATAGTCTGTTTTGTTGTATACCGATGGTTGGAGTTTAGAGACATTCTAGATGACGACAAGGTTCAGATAAGTAACCTATAAGTTATCCGTTTATTTATTCAAGGCAATATTTATGTGGGTTACAAGTGGTTAAGTGAGGTGGTATACCTTTGTTGTAGTTTTCCATACGTAACTGGTTACCTTTCCAACAAACGATTCTTCTCATTTCTCATCATAATTTAAACTTCAGAGCTCATTTCAGTTCTTCTGACGAATAAGTTCTCACCTCTGATGGGCTATTGTCAGTCTGCGTGAAGGGAAACGTTACAATTGATGCGATAGTCTCAATTACTAGATATTTGCCACATTTTGATTGTCCTCGTCTCAACCTTGCATTTTCTGACTAATTAAATAATCGATCTAACTGGAAAAAATGTTCCTAATAGTTGTCTTACGAACAGAATTAAAGTTTTAGTTATGACACAATCTCACTAGACAAATTTTGTACGTTTTCGTGTCTTGGTCCTGTTGTCAGTTACACCAATTTATACGTACCCATTCAGCAGCATTCTAATCCGTAAATATATGGGATGCTTATAAGATTTCTTTTGGGTTATACTCAGTTATTTCAACATTAGTTGGTTTATTAAATGCATCACGGAGTGAAACGATGTTGTTCTTTGAGTAGTTTCGGACAATTTGTCTGCAGTCGTATCAAGATGAACCCTTTGCACATAATTTGTACTTGTTAATTAACTTTTCATTTTTATAGCAGTGGACAAAGAAGTGAAGAAGAGTGCGCACGAAGACAAAAAACACTTCTACGATACACTGGCAAGTGAAGCAGAATAGGCTGGTGGTAGGAGAGACCTGACATTATATCAAATAACCAGGTTACTATCTGGTAGGGAAGAGATCGGCACAGATGAAACCAATAAAAGATAATGAAGGAAACCTAATTACCAAAGAAAAGAAACAAATAAAACGATGCGTTGACCAAATAATATTTTCGGCTGCTACTTTTTAGTACCCTTTCATTTGATGGTATCCGTTATTGAATGAGAAGGGATAAAGAAGAACATAGATTAGCTACAATAATGGACGTACAAATAAAATTATATATTAGGACAAAAACAATGTAATATTTGGAACAGTATGTGATCAAAATACTTATAATTAAACCTTCATTTACGCACATGATGAACTATATACTCTGTCTCAAAGTTGCGGAGTTACCTCGATATGACTGTAGAGAATAATTGTGTCCGAAATGTTATCCAGAGAATATTACTGTTCCACAGTGGGATACGTCTAACTAACCAACTACTATGCAATCATATTCTACTACAGTGGTCAAGTTGTACTTTTATCTGCTTACTACTATTGTTTTCCATTTGGTTCCTAGTGGAACATAAAGCTTCAGTGGTACATCTCCAGTACACTCCCTTCTCTGCAGTCTTTTGGACCTACTACCACGACTGCCCACATGCTTGTGCTCTTCTTCACATGATCTCTTCCATGTCACTCTCCCCTTGTACCCCCAGCTCGTCGTTTCCCACATCGACTCCACTCGTGGGCCAGGCCTGGCGCGTCATATCCCCAATCGGCTTTCTCAGTGTATGCCCAATCCGATTCATCTCCAATTTCTTACAGTGCATATTTGTTAAGTGATAGGTTCTTGCTTCGTTGGTTCGTTGCCAGAGTTCCTTGTTGCTTATTCTTATTATTCTGACCATCTAATCTGACCTTCAATATCGAGTGAGTGTAGGCGGCAGTTGTTGATGAATGTCTGTTGTTTGTTGGAAGTGCTTTCCGTGACGCGCCAAGTCTCTCAACCATCACATAGAAGCACTGACTTGATGTTGGTGTTGAAAATCCGGATCTTGTTCACGCTTTATGCTGAGTGAAGTGAAGTGCAGTGTAGTAGATCTCCACACTGATTTCACATTATTGAAGGCCTGTCTTGCTTTTCCGATCCTGACTTTGACATCCTCATCTGTGCCACCGCAACCGCCTGTAGTTGGAACGATGCTGCCTAGACAGGTAGGTGAAAGCAACAACTTCCTTCAAATTGTTGTTGTTGTTGTTGTTGTTGGTTGGGTATCTTCATCACCTCCGTCTTCTCCATGTTCATCTGAAGGGAGTTCCATCTTCCTTCGCTACATCGCCTGTTCTGCCAATTTGTTGGTTTTCGCCTGTAGATCGTCGAGTTTGTGTGACAAGACATTGGACACAAATCATCATTGTTGACGAAATCCAAATTTTCTAGGGTCTTTTCATCGGTCCATGCAGCGTATGTCCCTCTTCTCGCTCCTCACAGTTTCTTGCATGATCCAGTCCAGTGCAGTGCAGTGGAGTGGAGTGCAGTTTAGTCGATCACGATGAGGAAGGTGATGGGTGACAGTAGGCGACAACCTTGTCTTACTCCTTTCTTCACTTGAAAGGCATCACTGAGCTTTGCACTATGAATGACTTGGCATGTAGCATCCTCATATAGCAGTTTGATAAAGGTTTGTGGCACTGAAACTGTAGTGTTGAAGCAGCTGCCTGCCAAATTACTTCTCTGTCAACGCTATCGAAGGCTTTTTCAAAGTCGATGAAGTTGAGGTAAGATAGAGAGTTGACTGCTATTCTATCCTCTGTTCTATGATGAGATGATGCGTAGCGTAGTGTTTCAATTTGATCCGTACATGATTAGTTCTTCCTGAAACCAGCCAGTCAGGCAGCCAGCCTGTTCCGGTTGTAATTTTGAATCCAGATCATGTTCTAGTCTCTCTGGGATGATGCGGCCTAATATTTTGCTTGGTGTGGACAGAGATGGAGCATGATTTCTTACCATTTCTAGGAAAGACTTACGGGAGTTCGACAAGGCAGTCCTTCTTCCCGTCATCAGATACCTTCACTTCCTTCCTCCTTAACCTTGTGCTATAGTGGTGTGAGCATGTCTGCAGATGTCTCTGCTCTGCGTCTTTTTTCAGTGCTTCTGGAGGGATTCCATCTGGTCCTTCTGCTTTCATAGATTTCAGTAACTTTATGGCGTTCAGGACTTCACTTCTGCTTTTGTCGGAGGGTTTGTGTTGACTGGTGGTTCTGTGAGTGAGCTTCTGGTAGTATTTCTGGACTAGTTGCAGGTGGTGGTGGTGATCGAGTCAAGAGTTTTTTGAAGTGGTCAGCCGATCGTTTTTTTTGTTTCTCCTCTTTGCTAACTAAGTTTCCTTCACTATCTTTCATTGGTTTCATCTGTGTTGTGTTGATGTCTTCCCTATCAGATAGTGACTTGGTTATTTGATATAGTGTTGTCAGACCCTTTCTGCCTCAGGCTGTTTCTCTTCAGTTATATGTTTTGGCGTTGTAACAAACGATATTGCAATATCGGTGCTCAGAGTTTCTTTGGAACGGCGAATGTGTTAGAAAGTTAATCAGAATATAGCAAGTTGTATAAAGATTATTGAGCCTTGATGAGGCATTGTGTAGCATGAAAAGGCACTAGAGTTTGTCAAAACGATCATGGGAGGAAAAGTTGCGTGAAAATTGGATAA